TTTAGTGGTTTTTTTTTGTTTGGTTGTTTGTTTTCTAGGTTTTGGTTTTGAAACCACAAGAGGAAAAACTTAATGTGATTAAAAACAAGTACAATAATGTACTGTTACTCTCTATTTCTTATTAGGCTAATCCTTATTTTGTTGAATTATTTTGTTTCCTTCTAGTAGATGTTGTGTATGGTGTTTTTTCTTTGGTGGTGTGTCAAATAAGTGCCCGAATCCTTAAAGGCCCAATTACCAAAATAAAACAGTTAAAGGTCCAGTTACCTAAATAAAACAGTTGTATTTCTTAGTAAGGTGCAGCATTTAATACATATGATTTCTTTTTATGCACAAACAGGTGTTGCAAAACATGTTGGGGATGCTCTAAGAGAACATGCTTCCAGATCATCTCGAAAGATTTGCACTATTGGGATTGCTCCGTGGGGAGTGATTGAAAACAGAAATGACCTTGTTGGAAGAGATGTAAGGATGAATTACCTAACTGAAATAACCCATGTACTGATTTACCCCATGTATTTTTTGACAAATCTACTCAAGCATGTTTTTTTCCCTTGCTTTGCATCATTGGAATACTTGCTTTACTGTGAAGATACACTGACATCTGTGACTTATGCAAGATCATTATGTATAAACAAGTTGCAAAATGCAAATGTGCTACAGGAGGAGCTTGTTCTTAAGTATTTAATCCTTTTTTTTCTCCCCTACTGATACTGACTCAAATTACAAAAATGTTAAAGTATTACAGACAATTCACATTTAGAGAGGATGTTAAGTTGAAAAATTTTGATGTGGAGTCTTCAGTGCTACTGTTTGCCAGAGCAAACAAGTTTTCCCCAAAGACATCTTTTTAATGGATCTTTTCTCTGTTATCCCTCAGAACAGCTTCCTTTAGTGAAATAATTATCTGCTTCTCTGCACAAAGTTCAGAGCTACAGCTGTTGGTGTATCCTGACCCAAGGCAGGCTTTTATGTGTCAGTGCTTCTCGTTGAGCCACCAGTCCTTGTGTCTAGACAAAAAGTTAAGTTTCACAGAAACAAGTATGAATCTTCACAAGTAAAAGACATTGTTGTGTGCTTATACTTAGGTGGTTGCTCCGTATCAAACCTTGTTAAATCCATTAAGTAAACTAAACGTCCTAAATAACCTCCATTCCCATTTCATTCTGGTGGATGATGGAACAGTTGGAAAGTATGGAGCAGAAGTTAAATTGAGAAGAGAACTGGAAAAAACCATTAATTTGCAACGGATCCATGCAAGTAAGTAATTCTGCTGCCTGAGGGTTGAGTGTTACTGTGCTTTAATGAAAAAGGTAGTTGGCACCAAACATCTGAATGACAAAGTAGAAAAATTAAGTCTTTTGTTTATGTTTCAAGTCTGAATTTACAAACTTCAACAGCAGCTTTGGACCCTGGAGATCGCTGGTAGATTTATGGCTTCTCTGGGACCAGTGAGGAGAGTCTTTTGAATAAGGTTGTCTATTTACTTTGATAAAGCAAGTGTAAGTCAGTTCAGGTCTTGGTATGTTGTCAGACCTTCCTGGTCTGATTGATTAATGGTTTTGATACCATTCACTTGCAGTTGCACAATGGGGCAATTGAGTTTGTAAAACGTCATCTGTTTGTGCAGAGAAGCCATGACTTATTTTTGGGTGTTTTCCCAATTATGGAGCAACACGTTTGACTCTTCTAGGAATGCTTGCTTTCGCAATGTTTCCCATCAGCAGAGGGTTTCTGTGTACCCATATTCAAATGCTATATGTATTGTCATATGTATAGTATGTCATTGTCAAACTATTTGGGGGAAGTTAGAGGAGGAGTTCCAAAAGAAAAATTTTTCAATTTTCTACCTTAGTTCGTGAATATTTCTGTGAAGAATCTCCTCTCTTCTGTAGACTGTATTCCATTGTATTTACCAGCTTTGCAGTGCTTTCCTCCCAGCCCAAAGTATAAACAGTGCTTGAAACCATGTATTTACAACAGTTCACATGTCTGGCAGGCAGCACTTTAATTTTTATTCAACGAAAGGGGCAAACTTGATTTATTAAATGTGTAAAACTGATCTTAGCATTCCCTATACACCTACAACATTGTCTGGTTTTCATTACTTATTTGCAACTTTCCAGGAATTGGTCAAGGTGTGCCTGTGGTGGCACTTGTGTTCGAAGGGGGCCCCAATGTCATCCTCACAGTTTTAGACTTCCTTCAGGAAAGTCCCCCGGTGCCCGTGGTGGTGTGTGAAGGAACTGGTAGAGCTGCAGACATACTGGCCTATGTGCACAAGCAAACAGAGGAGGGAGGGTAAGTCCCAGCACTGCCAGCCAAACTATCTGTCGTACATAGGTGGGTTTTGAGATCATTTCCTAATGAATTTGTGCAAGAGCCTTTTCTGTTTAGTGCAGAAAACACTTGGCTGTTTCAACTGTCATTTCAAATAATGAGGGGTGTGGTCAGGCTCCACAATACTTAGTGACTTCTAGTTAGTTGTCAGCCTTGCATAAATCCTTAAACATACTGGGTCCTTGTTGCTGCCTCAGACAGGAGGCAGGGGTCTGATGTAGCTGTAAACCAAACAGCTTTGTCCATGGTAAGATCACAGGCAGATTATTAAGCAAAGTAAGTGTCAAAATCTTTTCATCGATGGTATCTCAGAATTCAGTAAGGGAAGGAAAGGGAGAGAGAACTGAGTTACTTTTATGAGGCAGTAGCAGAAAATCGTAGATTAAGCAACCTATACTTTCTAAAGGTTACCCAAGGTTTTGCCACAGAAACAGTGATAATCTTATAGATAGTAGGACTCTGAATAGGCATGTTGAAACTAATTAAATGAGTTGTTGTTCTTTCTGTTCATGTATAAAACAATTGCTTTCCTGTTTGTTTGTTTCAATCTCAGGAATGTTCCTGAGGGTGCTGAGCCTGAAATCATTTCAACCATCAAAAAGACATTTAACTTTGGTCAAAGTGAAGCAGTTCATTTGTTTCAGACACTGATGGAATGCATGAAAAAAAAAGAACTTGTAAGTAGATCTTGCCATAAAATTCTCTATGCAAGGTGCATGCATTTATGGATATATGATATGATATGATTTTTTGTTTCCTTTTTTTGGTACTTTTAGTTATGACTACTAACAAAAGTGTACTATCTCTGCATGTTTTAAACAAAATCACCTCATAGAGTTTTATATGTAGTTCAGGGACTGATGTCTCATTTAGACATCATATTATGTTGGTTTAAAATTACCATATTCAGCTAAATATGTTTGCTGGCAGGTTAATCTCGACCTAGAATGAACTGGAGAGGTAAACAGGGTCCTGTGTTATAGACAAGAGAGTATTGTAATCACAGTAGGAAGAGATGTTCAAATTGATTGAAGAGTGTGAAGGATTTGTGCTCTGCCTTTACCTGTAATGGATTGTCCTGTGTGACACCCAGTTAGGAAAACAAAACAAAAGAGTGCGTGCTAAATGCTTAAATCAAGCGTAGCAGGCTTAAACTGCATCAAAGACAAGGTGTCTTTTATGTCAGGAATTGAAATAGATTAAAAAAGACTGGAGCTAATCACCTTTGCCCGAAAATAACTTCAAAATATGTTTTCCTCATTTTTCCCTTTTGGACAGATTACAGTTTTTCATATTGGGTCAGATGAACACCAGGACATTGATGTTGCAATACTTACAGCTTTGTTAAAAGGTGAGACTTAATTTTAAGAGCATTTGGAACCTCCAGCTATTATTGTTTACTCTGTAGATGATGGATTATTTATACAATAATATAGCCAGTAGCAATCTTTAGTTTTTAAACAAAAAAAATATTTATTGTGTTTTCTCATTGCATAATACCATAATGTGAAATAAATGATAAAATATGGTGTATAACTTCGTATTGGATTGCTTGATTTGGTCTTTTTAGGAAGCAAGAATGTTTATTAGCTTGTATTTTAATTAATTTTATATTTTCTTCAATGTGTTTGCTTCTAAAGGCACGAATGCATCTGCATTTGACCAGCTTGTTCTTACACTTGCGTGGGACAGAGTTGACATAGCCAAAAATCACGTTTTTGTTTATGGGCAACAATGGCTGGGATGTAATGGTCTGGATTAAGCAAAATTATAATTATGATGATTTCTAAAAGAGAAGCACAATTTACTGTAAAGAATGAATCTTTTGACTTTTGTAGAGAGAGACTGTAGAATACTGACACACTTATTTGTGCACACTGCATAGTCTTACAGCTGTTTTGCTGTTATGTATTTGAAAATGGTTCAAAAATTTTAGAAATGTGCTAAGTCTCCTGAATAACTAGCAGAGCAAAGACATTACAAAAGGTGGAAGCTGAATTCATGTTAGTCAGATGCTCTTTATTCCTTGCAGCTGCATGATCATGGAAAGTTATTAAGCAGCATCTACTAAAATGCACTATTGGGACACTGGGAGTGGCTTTTGAGGCAGGGACAAAATGTCTGTTTCTTGCAGTTTGAAAATTAGTTTAAAAACTGCATGGTGGCTCTTACCTTTTCCCCTTTTTACTGTAAAAATAAAACACAAACTTATTGAGTGTGCAGTCAGAAGTATGTACTGTAAGGCTTATTGACTGAAATGGTGGTTCCAACCATTTGTCTTCAAAGCAAATTGTGCTTTAAGTGTGTTATATCTCTGTGTTTCATCCAATATCAATCTGTGAGAACAGCTTAATCATGTTAAACCAAATGTCTACTTAGTCCCATGTACTGTCTCACTAGGAGATACCTCTGAAACAGTTAAAGTCTTAAGAATATTCTCTCATCTTGCAATTGTGTGAAATTCAGGGGATATTCTGAACCAAAGGTGACACCTTTATAGATGTGTAAGGTTTCTACAGCCCTGTAAATGAATGAGGTTGACACATTATCTAAGTGCACTTTTGTGATGCCCTGTTTTACTGGCTCTCTCCAGGCTCTACCTTGTTACTTATTTGTTGTAGGTTGGCTCCCTGGAACAGGCTATGTTGGATGCTCTCGTGATGGATAGAGTTGCATTTGTGAAACTTCTGATTGAAAATGGAGTAAGCATGCACAAATTTCTTACAATTCCCAGGCTGGAAGAACTTTATAACACAGTAAGTAAATGATTGCTTTTTAAGCTACTTTTAGAACAGTTTTTTAGTTGCTCAGCATGTTGGATACTGGGTTGTGTGCACCAGTCTGAAGGTGTGTTACAGCCCTGTTGTGGAACTCATGAAATGTGTAAACCCTCCTCATAGCAGAGAAGAGAACAAGAGAAAGGTAGATGGGTGAAACTTGTGCACAAAATATGGGATCTGTGTAGGGCTTCATAGAATGAATTCTGTCTATAGCAGTTAACATTATCACGATAGTTGTAAAAATAGTTTAATTTGTGAACCTGCATAATTGTAAATATTACTTAGAAAAATTTTGTTGCTCTAGGTGTTGATTTAAGAATTTCAAGGTAGTTTTACCTAACACTTAAGTATTCCACCAAAAATTAGCTAATGTAGTAGTACACATGTACTAATGAATGGTACACTAATTAGGCTTAGGCTTGCATTGACAGTCTCGTTTTCTGCTTTTGCCAAAGAAAAAAAAAGAAAAAAGAACTAATTCTTTAGCCAATAGAGCTCTGTAAAGGAGCCCATGTGATAAGGTTTTTTTATTAGCTGTATTTTTAATTATTTTTAAACAAGTAATTAAATAATTAAATTCAATTATTTAATTAAATAAATTAAATAATTAATTTTAAGACTAAATAATACAATGTTGCTTTTACATGCTTGATGTGCTTTTGATAGAGTCTGTGTGGGAGATGGGGCTAACCATATGTCTGTAAGTGTAACAGTTCATGCACTCACAGGAAATCAGAGAAGGTATTAAAATCCACTTTAGTGAAAAGGGAGATTGTTCAGACTAAAATTTAAAATGTAAGGGAGCTTTTACTATGGGTCCTGCAATACTGTAAACATGACTATCAGTCTGTGTTCCTGGAAATTCATTCTGCTTTTTGTATTCTGGTTTTGTTGGGATTTTATTTTTTGTTTGGTTTTTCCTTTTTTGGACAAACCGTGGGTGTAATATTATGCCCCAAACTAAAACGGAAGTAAATTGCAGCAAAAAAGGAAATAGTCTGTGGCTACTACAATACTGTGATGTATTTGCATCTGTTGCATTTCTGTTTGTTTAAAAGCTAGGGATTTTTTTATTTGAGCCAACATGCAAAAGTATTTGGCTTGTACTGTAATTTTCTCGTGTTGCCGCTGCACGTGAATTTCTCATTCCAAACTTTTTTCTTCTCTTTTTTATGAAGAAACAAGGCCCAACTAACCCAACACTCTTTCATCTTGTTCGGGACGTCAAACAGGTATGCTGTAAATGTACAAATCTGTCAAACCAGCAATGGTAGTTTTATGGAAATTTCTTCCATTTGACTGTCCATTTGATCTGTAGCTCATTAATTAGGTTTTATTGTAAGTAATAAGTTACCTCTTCAGACATTTTGTTGTTTACAATACTTGCTGTTGTATGCTTGGTGCCCTGCTGCCTGAAAGATGTTAAACCTGAAGAATGTTGTCTTCTTCATCTTCCTTTTGAAAATTTTCCTTCTTGGGGGGGTGGAAAGCTGATACTCTCAGCTAGGAGTACTTCTGTTAAAACAAAAGACAAAAAACCAGTGTGTCCCTCCTGCCCCCAAGGAAATAAACATCTATCCTGCTAAGGGAGATTGTATAGAACAGAAGCTATAACCTAGTCTTTCTTTAAAAATAATAACTATTGAGCCATGTAGATATTTCTTCGTTGTTGTCTTGATGTGGTTTTTTTTTTTTAATAATGAAATTTTGTTTGTTTTTGTTATTTAGAACTGTGATAGAACATGTAGAAACACTCTAAGCAAGCTTAAGATTATAATTTGAAACACTAAAAAATACCTTTTGTATTCCTAGGGAAATCTTCCTCCAGGATATAAAATCAACCTGATTGATGTGGGACTGGTTATTGAATATCTGATGGGAGGAACCTATAGATGCACCTACACAAGGAAACGCTTCAGAGCGATATACAACAGTCTCAGCGGGAACAATCGGGTATGTAGCAGTGGGGGAACCTATGTTCTCAATTAAAATGTGTTTTGGAGGAAAATTGGGTCCATGTTGTTTTGTTCCTCTTGTTAATGGACTACTTTTCAAGGCAGTGGCAAGGCCTATGAGGGCAGCTGAGAGCTGGTTTCGGATTGAGAGCAAACAAAAGGATTTGTTCTCCTACTCCTTATTCTAGCACATCCTTACTTCTTCTCCGTGATTCCCTCTTTTCCTACTTGTAGGGGAAGAATGGGCACTAAACATGCAGATTATATAGGGCTTGGGATGCAGACATCTTAGCTCCTTGTGTAAGCTACACTAAACAGCAAGTGTAACTGCCTATTTGGTGACTTCTTAAAAATAACAAAACCAAACAAGAAACCATGTTAAATATCCAGTCAAAATTCTGCTTGTGCTGTCATGTAAGTTCATCAATGTTTCAGTAACCAGACACCTTCTCCTTATCCCTGTTACAGAGATCTAGTCGAAATCCTTCAAGTGCTACTCCTCAGATGTGTAAAAGCCACGAGTCTTTTGGTAACAGGGCAGACAAGAAGGAAAAAATGCGCCATAATCATTTCATCAAGACAGCGCAGCCATACAAACCAAAGGTATGCATGGGAGGGGAGCACGGTGGGGGCTTGTTTCAAGCAGCTAAGACTGGAAAGCCTGGTTGAAATCCAAGTGCTCACTGAAATGTGAGTAGCAGCAGTTGCATTGAGTTTTGTAAAGCTGGAATTTCAACCTTGCTTTTGTACTTGTTTCTAAATGGTAGCTGTTTTACTGGATTCTATAAAGAGTGTTTCTCTTTCAATATAGTTCTGGGTGAGCTTTGATATGCTGGGGACCAAAAAGCTTATCTTTAACACTAGCAATGGGGGAGGGGGGGAGGAACTCAGTAGATTCAGAGCAAGATTTGACCATGTATTACTACTATAAGCAGTTTCCATGAGTTTCCTCATTTGTATGTAGGTATATTAGCTACTGCTTTTCTTTTCATCTATAATTCAAAGTAACTCAGTCTCACAGTTATTAAAATGATTTGGACTCAGCTGAAGTTTTCGAACAAAAGTTCCAGCTGCTTTTCAAGTCTTCAGAAATTCTTTTTTTCTTTTTTATAATTATATGTAATTTGGTATTGGATCAGTCAGCATTTTATTTCAAGTTTATGCAACGACCGAGTATAGAGACTTAAAAATGTAACTTCCTGCTTTTATTTTAAAGATTGACACTGGTGCAGAAGAGGGAAAAAAGAAAAGAACCAAAGATGAAATAGTAGACATAGATGATCCTGAAACGAGACGTTTTGCTTATCCTCTCAACGAGCTGCTGTTGTGGGCGGTGTTAATGAAGAGGCAGAAAATGGCCCTTTTCTTCTGGCAGCACGGCGAGGAGTCCATGGCAAAAGCTTTGGTTGCTTGCAAAGTGTATCGTTCAATGGCATATGAAGCAAAACAAAGTGACCTTGTTGATGATACTTCAGAAGAACTGAAACAGTATTCCAAGTAAATTACGTTTATATTGTTCAAAATATTTTCTTGGCATTTGCAATAAAGTATATATGAACTATATATGAACAAAACAAACTGTTCTATTAGCACACTTGAAGACAATTCCTTTTTGCAAAAAAAAGGATTGAGTGGCACTCTAGTAGAAGTTTCATATTAGATATTGCTCCCTCTTGGGAGCTGTTACAAGTCTTTATTTATAGTTGAATTAGAAGAACAATGAATGTGCCATTTACTTCTGTGTAATTTCTGAGTGTGTTTTAATAGCTGTTTGTAACATGCATGTGTTTTTAATAGAAACCACAGATTGATGTGTTATAGTTACAAATTACCATGTATCTGCACAGAAGGGTCAAATAATAGTCCCTTCAAGTTGTGCTATTGGGAATTTGTACAGGAAAACTCATGCTAAACTGAAGGTCATTTTCTATAGATACTATATTTTGTTTTGTTGTTTTTTCTTCATTCTAGTGAGTTTGGCCAACTGGCAGTTGAGCTGTTAGAACAGTCCTTCCGACAAGATGAGACTATGGCCATGAAATTATTAACCTATGAGCTTAAAAACTGGAGCAACTCCACTTGTCTGAAGTTGGCAGTGTCGTCCAGGCTCCGTCCCTTTGTAGCACACACTTGTACACAGATGTTGTTATCAGATATGTGGATGGGAAGGCTGAACATGAGGAAGAATTCATGGTACAAAGTAAGTGTTGTCACAGTTTATCGGTGTAAAAAGGGCCAATGGAGTTTTATGTTTAAAGGGAAGGAAAGTGTGTGTTTAATGCTATTAGTATAAAGCTTCCACAACTGTAGCTTACATTAATAAATCCTGTAAACCAGTCTCCTATAACATAATCAAAACTGGAAGTATTTGTTGTAAACTCTTCTTTTGACACTCTATTATCTTTTCAAATAAGGTACAGAAATATAGAAGGCAAAAACCAGGCAAGTAGCCTTTAATCAGAGGCTTAAAGAGATCATGTGAATACTAATCCACTACTAAAAACAAAGTAGTAACAAACCTTAACAGATGGAAAACCTGCTGTAAGACTGTAGTTTTGTGCGTTTTGGCTTTTTACAGGGAGCACATAATTCCTATTTTGGAGGAACTGAGCAAAAGCAGGGCACAGAACAAAACAAGGGTAGGCAAATCGGGGACAGGTGTTCCAGTGGTGGCCTTTGTGATATAGATCAATTGAACCAAAATGGGAGTTGCATATTTCTTTGAGATGGTGTGCCAAAACCTGATTGTTGCTAGAAATATAATGAAATAAAACTTTCCTACAAAATATCTACAAGCATCATTTAACTTGTGACCTACTAAAATCTTGTTTGATAACTGATTAACCATTTTCTTGCTTGCTTTGTAACATGCTAATGACAGTAAATAGCTTTCACTTACTCTCTTCATCTATACCTTAGCCCATTTTTCTGCCATAAATTGAAAAAACAACCCAAAACCAAACACACACCACTCCTCTCTCCCCCTGCAAATCACAACCTTGTATATGCATTTAAAATACACCTTAACTGTACACAGCTCTAGAGTTTCTGGGAGTGGATTAAATAACAGAGTGTGAACAGGACATCTCTATCTTCAGTCTTGAAGTAGATTCTTTCTAGTAGCTTTTAGTTTTGGAATTTGTTGTTTTTTTCCCATTTCCTTTATCTTCAAATCAAGAAACACTCTGAATATGTGATCTTAGGCTCTTAAGTGTATGTACAAGTAGTAACAACTAATTATTTTTTACATTTTTCCCCCTCAGTAACAAGCAAGTGAAATTTAAATTATATATTTTCAGAGGATATTCTGTGTGTTGGTGTATTCTGATACTTTAATGTAGCTGTGAACTATTTGCACTTAGTCATCATCTTTTCCAGGTGATACTGAGTATTTTACTCCCTCCTGCTATACTGCTGTTGGAATATAAGACCAAGGCTGAAATGTCACACATTCCTCAGTCTCAAGATGCACATCAAATGGCAATGGATGACAGTGAAATCAACTTCCAGACTGTAGCAGATGAAATACCTATGGTAATGTGGGGCAGGGGGAGGTATTAAAGCAATATTCCTAACAAATAGTTACATTTTTAAGTCAAGAGTTGAAATAAATGTCAAAAGGCATGTGTTTCTGTGTGTGAAGTTAACAGTCCTTTCATTTTAGGAGGTTTTTAAAGAAGTAAAGATCTTGGACAGTTCTTTGGAAAAGCATGATATGGAGACTCCAGCAAAACCTAAAAGACTCCCAATTACGCAGAAGTTTTATGCATTTTATCACGCTCCAATTGTGAAGTTTTGGTTTAATACGGTGAGTTTTTTTCTGTGTGGTGTGTATTTCATTTGAAAATGAAGGTTACATTTTGGTTCTTTTCCCAGCATGTAGCTCTGACTGAATCAAAGGTTAAGCACTATCCAAAAAAACCCTTACCTTGCTAAGCTGGAAATGAGAAGTACCTGATTTTGAAAAACTGCATATGCACATGCCATGCCCTGTGGTTTGGGTTGTTTTGAAGTTCATGGTGTTGGCTTTAGAAATACCTTTTTTTAATTTTTATTTTTTTTTAAGCTAAGAGAGTAATTAGCATGAACGTTTTTATTCTGGTCTGAGTAATTAGTTTCATCAGTTGCTAGCAGGAGTTCTATAACCATCTGTTAGGCTGAAGTGTTCATGCACTGCTCTGTTTCAATTACTGTAATAGAAATGCTAGAATTTATACTAAAGGAAAATAACTGTAATAAGAGCAAAGCTTTGCTAACAATAAATAGCTTGTTACAGCTATTTTTCCTCTTCTAAGATGAAAATGTTTCTATGCCCTTATAAATAGAAACTTGTCTGCTTAAATGGGTAAATACAGTCCTGTAATCCTATTTGAAGTTTTTATTGTGTACCACATCAGAAGATTCCATGCACATCTAAAAAGAACCCTTCAGTAATTATATGTATAATATTTATTTGTGTGTTTTAGTTGGCATATTTAGGATTCCTCATGCTCTACACATTTGTGGTTCTTGTAAAGATGGAAGAATTACCATCCGTTCAGGAGTGGATTGTTATTGCTTACATTTTCACATCAGCAATTGAGAAAATCCGTGAGGTATGCCTCTAACAGTCTGGGATTTTAGCTTTCTTTGTCAGTTAAAACAATATGCTTGAAACTATGATTCAGTAAGCAAAAGAACCCAAGAACTTCAAGCATCAGGGCGTGTGATGCGATACCTTTATCTTAAACTTTGGTATAGACTGGGGATGGAGGACTATAAAACAAGGTGGATTTTTCTTTCTAAATATTAAGGAACTGGCAGTAACATGCTGGTCAGATTTCTTTGGTTAAAACACATCACTCCCTGCCCTCCCTAGCTGATTGCTACTTTTTTTGATTCTGTAACTCCCTGCCAACAAGTTGCAATGCAATGAACAACGTTACTTTTCTGGCTGGTGAAATGTGTATTTATTCATTAGTGTCAGTCAGACTCTACCACTGTGCCATGACCAAGATATCAAAACAAAAATAAAAAGGTTTACTGAGACAGGATAGCTATCATAACTACAACATTCCTGGTCAGCAAGAGACTTCTGAGGATTTTTAAAAGCATTTTTAAATGGGAAAGAGAAAGTTAGTTCTTTAATCTGGTACCTCAGGCCCAACTGAAGGGGCAGATAATGGGGCTCATTTTGTAACAGTAACCTCCTCAAAAGAAATAAAAACCCCACTAAACCTCACCAAACCCCAAATTCCTTCACAAATTGTTTAGACAGAGCGAAACATGCATCCTCCTCTCCTTGTTGTGAAGCTGACACAGTTAAACACTGGCTTTGATTTCTCAGTGAATAAGAATTATCCATTTGAATAGATATTTTATTTTTGCAAGTATAAAAATATTAGTGATTCGTATGTTTCACTGTTGGTCCCTATGCAATAAATATGAGCAGTCCTGACCTTTATTTTTATTTTTTTACAGATTTTTATGTCAGAGGCTGGGAAGATTAATCAGAAGATCAAAGTGTGGTTCAGTGATTACTTCAATATCAGTGACACAGTTGCCATTGTCACTTTCTTCATTGGGTTTGCATTAAGATTTGGAGCAAAGGGGAATTTTGGAGAAAACACTTACAGAGAAAATTATGTCTTTGTTGCTGGAAGAATAACATACTGTCTCAATATAATTTTTTGGTATGTGCGATTACTGGATTTTCTAGCTGTAAATCAACAGGCTGGACCTTATGTTATGATGATTGGGAAAATGGTAAGTACTACTTTTGTTACTGATATTTTTTTACCAACTGAAATTTACAATTTCCCTCATAGTTTCATTTAGCAAAAGGTTGCTTATCCTGGTGAAATTTGTTAACAACTCTGTGTGCAGAATTAGCTTGCTGGAATATCACTTTAAGTGTTTCAAAGTGAGCACTAATTAGAAGGCTTCCTTTATTATGGAGCTTTCTGTGTCACATAATTGTGAGAAACTGGCAAATCTTTCTCCTCTGTTGTGTTTTGTTCTTAGCTGTCAGAGACTTAAATGAATATGATTAAGCCTTTTTCTTGACTGAGCTGGCATCGCTTCCCGTTTGGGCCCGAGATTTATTTATAACTTTTGTGCTCCTTAGGGCAGGACTTTGACTTGTTTTGTGTCCTAAAGCACCTAATGCTTTTGTGCTGTGGAAAATTGGAAATAGATTGTGGCCCTCTTCTTGTCTTATCACGTAAAAAATATTCAAATTGTTTGAAATTAAACAACCTAGCTCTACTGTCAGTAGCTCTTGTAAATGTTAAAAAATATATTCAGTCTTGAGTGCTGTATATATGAAGGTGGAAAGGGTTTTTATGTTTCTTATTTCTATAAAACGGTTCCTAAAAAGTCGAACCTGTCATTCCTTGAAAACGAGGGCATCAAGTCGCTCATGTCTCACTTTGATTTCTTGCAAGAGGCATAGGTTCTGTGTTCCAGCCTTTGGAAAACTACCTCTGGGGTTTGTGCAGCTATTCAGTACATTTAGGAAGGAATGTTTCTCTCTGTCAGCTGCTACTCATGCACGTATTAAGTATTAGAGTTATGAAGGAAATACTTTCAGTTGCCTTTGGCCAGGGATACTAAGTAAGCTCTAAGAAAGGACAGGGAAAAAACCCCAACATTTGTGTGGGTTTTTTAACACAATTCGTTATTTAACAAAAATTTCTGACTGAAATATAAGTGCCCTGGACTTTTTTCTGTATATAATTCTTAGAATTCATCAAGTGTACACTGTCACTGTAAAAGTGTTTCAAGTTGTGAAATCATAGTTATGATCCCATGGATTAACTGACTTTTTTTTGTGTTAATAGGTGGCCAACATGTTTTACATTGTGGTGATTATGGCCCTTGTACTACTTAGTTTCGGTGTTCCCAGGAAGGCAATATTGTATCCTGATGAGGCACCGTCTTGGACTCTTGCTAGAGATATTGTGTTCCATCCATACTGGATGATTTTTGGTGAAGTGTATGCCTATGAAATTGATGGTAAGACACTGCAATTTTGAAACAAATAAAGAGAAAACTTTCTCTGATTAAATTTTCTCGAGATCTTACAAAATTCCAATTTTATGAAGTGAAATGCCTGCTATTGTTGACATTGGTTCCATTCATTGGATTATCTCCTCTTTGTGGGCTGCAGCTGTGTAACTTCTTGACCTGACTTTTTCATTATCCTTTCTAAAGCTTGAATGGCTTAGAATGAAAACTTCTTTGTAATCACAGTTTCTCACAAGGCTGTTCATAGCAAGATACTGGAATCCTTCCCCACAACTGTCATACCCTTTTGGCTGTGGTGGTGTACTCTGCTTTTTAAAAAAATATGATAATATGGTTATGCCATAGTATTAACCAGATACTTTGGTATTTATCTACCATGTCCTAAATACATTTGGAATTGCAGAACCAGTGCATGATGGTTGTTACAAACTTTGTGACCTTTTTTTTCCTGTATCTCTACCTGCTGGGAGTTCTAAAAAATGTACATATCTTCTCTGTATCCTTTTTTTCTCAACACAGTATGTGCAAATGATTCTGATGAAAAAGTTGCTCATCTCTGTGGCCCAGGAACATGGTTGACCCCATTTCTTCAAGCTGTCTACCTCTTTGTACAGTACATAATCATGGTTAATCTCCTTATTGCATTTTTCAAGTAAGTATATGGATAATTGTTAATTTTTGCTAATAATTTGATAAGTTTATATTTCATTGCAATAAGATGACAAGAAAAGAAGAAGTGATCCCAGTTCAAAGCAGTCTCAGTTTTTTTCAGGTTCTAAGTGTGGTCTTTATCTCCTTCTCACTGCAAGCCCATGGCTAAGTTAGGGAACTGTGTGATCTATGACACCAGAGGAATCAGAAGTTTAAGAAAAATTGAAAGCATTTTGTAACTTCTCTTTGTTAGAAAACAAACAACATTGTTTCTTTGTCTTTATATTGACTGTTGTTCCTAAATTCATTTAATGTTCTCTAGTTGGTTGAGTTCAATTGTATTAAATTGCCTTTTATAGTTCTCCGCAAGTGTTTGATTTATGGGCATGAGCAGCTCACGAACACTGGAGAATGGCAGACTGCAGGATTAATGTGGTCTGATAGAAAAATCTGGGTTTAATTAGAAATAATTTTTTTTTTTGTTTGGGAAACCTGAAATTTGATCTCAGTGTGATTTATTTCTGAATAAAGGTACTGAGATGTTACCAGAAGGGAAAATTTTTTAACCCTCTCCCTGCATTAAATCATGTTGTTTTCTTGAATGTGTTTCCAACATCCACCAAAATAATTTTGAAGCAAAAAACAAGTTCATGCTTTTGTCTCTTACTTAAATGACGTCAGAATTCAAGGTTGTTATGGAAGAGTTACAAAACCCCCCAACAACTACTGAACACACACCAACACCTTTCCCCCACCCCCCAAAAAACCACCTTGATGTGTTAATACTGTTCTGTTCCCTTTCAGCAACGTGTATTTACAAGTCAAGGCGATTTCCAACATTGTGTGGAAGTATCAGCGCTATCATTTCATTATGGCCTACCATGAAAAACCTGTTCTGCCTCCGCCGCTGATTATTCTCAGCCACATGGCTTCCCTCTTCTGTTGTATTTGTAAAAGAAGACAGACAGACAAGGCTTCAGATGGGCCAAGTATGAATAGTTATTATCCAAAAAATTGCAGTACCTTTTTTGATATGGTTAAAGCAAACTGTCAGAGAAGTGCTGTGTCCTTGGTTATAATGTATATTTTGGAGAAAGTCAAAGCGGGTCTTAATTTTCCATGTTTCTAATATTGGTTAAGAATCTAATTCTGTTCAGTCACAATGCTTTTATGAAGGGTATAATGCAGTCCCTAAAAATCTCCAGTTAAACTAACTTATGACAAAACCAAAAAATCAGAGAGATTTGACTTCCTGTTCTGTTAATGGAGAAGTTTTTTAGTTTTCTTTCTGTAAAACTTCTTTGAAACTTAAAAAAAAAATTAATGAGGAGTTCCACAGAGAATAAAATCCAGCTAAGGAATCCAGCTTGTGCCTCAGAGAAAAAGAAATTGAAGGGTATGAGTGTAAGGAATGATAATATTGTGCACAGATCCTCTCAGAATTACTATTTTGATTTGATTGTATTGGAAATCTTTGATGTTGAACTTGTTTCTGTCAGTGAGAGAGCAAGGGTCTTAGGTGGCACTCTGGTAGGGTCTTTTTGTTTGTTTTTGGTTTTATTTTGGCTTTTTATTTTTAACACCCTTGGTAAAGTTCTGGCTATTAGTTTTCGGCACCTGTACAGCTTCACTGCATATGTATCATAACTGTTTAATCTCCTTTAGAACTCTTCCTGACAGAAGAAGATCAGAAGAAACTTCATGATTTTGAAGAGCTGTGTGTTGAGATGTATTTCAATGAAAAGGATGATAAATTTCATTCTGGAAGTGAGGAGAGGATTCGAGTCACATTTGAACGGTAGAATATTTGCAAATAAAATTTCTGAATAGAGAATTAGAACTTTTGCAGGTTTTTTAAAATGTACTTTAAGGGGAGGAATGCAGCTCAAGAACATAAGTGTTAACACAAACTTTAGATGGTATCTTTCCATTGCTGTACAGAAACTAACAGTGTGATTGATGCTTCTTGATCTGCAGCAGCACCCACGAAGCTGAGGCAATTGTATTATTTAGTTTCCCGTGATGTTTTAACAAACTGATAGATTTGAAAAAGTGTTGTGGGCACTCTATTGATGTGTATTTTAATTCTAAGAGTCAGAAGTATGTACAAATGTAGTATTGCCAAACAATCCAGTAGTATTGTGTATACCATCTTATAATTTCAGAGATTTCTTTCCTCTGATTAAGTGGGCAGAAAGTGTTACAGAGATGTTTCTTTTGCATATTGAGAAAAATACTTTTCATAGCTACTTCATAATTTTGATTTTTCTTAGGGTGGAACAAATGTGCATTCAGATAAAGGAAGTTGGTGATCGTGTCAACTACATAAAACGGTCATTACAGTCTTTAGATTCCCAGATTGGCCACCTCCAAGATCTGTCTGCTCTGACTGTGGATACCCTGAAAACACTGACTGCGCAGAAAGCCTCAGAAGCGAGCAAGGTTCACAATGAAATCACACGGGAACTGAGCATTTCAAAACATTTGGCACAAAACCTCATTGAGGACGGCTCTCTAAGATCATCTGTGTGGAAAAAGCACAGCATTGGAAATGTCTTTGGTTCTTTCCCACAAGGAGGCCTTGAAAGTAACAATGCTTTACTCTGTAACATTTCTATCCGTGATGAAAAAGAAGCCCAACACAAGACAATTGGTCAGGAGTTGGCTCCAGTTCCCCGAAGAGAAGAAAAAAACTTCCAAGAGGCAGGTTCCTCAGGCAGTGCCTTATTTTCAAATACTGTTTCCCCTCCAGAACTTCGCCAACGAATACAGGCTGCAGAGGTCTCAAAGTCCACTAGTAAAAGTAAAAAATTAGGCAACTCATCCAACAGCATGCCACACGTAACATCCCCAACAGCAAAGTTCTTTGTTAGCACTCCATCTCGACCCAGTTGCAAAAGTCAGCTGGATTCTTCAGCAAAGCGTGAAGAGACTGTGTTCTCTAAGGCTACAGAAGGAGATAATAATGTAGAATTTGGTGCATTTGTGGGTAAGTATAACAAAGTAGATTCTGAGTGTCCTGAAGTCATTATTAGCTGCTCTTATCCTTTTGCTTCTGGCTCTGCTTGCCTTGCTTTCACCCAACCTTGTGTTGAAAATGGAGGATACGTTAATTGTGGTTTTATTCATGATGAGAGTGACACTAATGATAACTACAGCTGCAGAGTTGACAAATGTGATCACCAGTCCTCTGTCAAGTTATTGAAGAACAAGCCCCAAACGAAGTTCTCTTTGTCAACTGGCGACTTGATGTCAACAGTCAACTGTGGCGGCTCACATGGAAAATTGAATATTAAAGATGAACTTTCCAAAAGTCAGCATGTCCCTGCAATGGAACTACAAACCCGAGATTTATGTTCTAACATCCTTATGGGACTACTTCATAAACTGTGGACCAAATCTAAGCCACAAGGTTTGACTTATCAAGAATTGTATAGTATTTTGGGTGTATTCCGGTTGCAGGTGACTTCATTCTACCATTTTGCTCTGCTTTTTTTTTGCTTTTAACATCTCTAATTTCCCTATGTTGCTTGAATGTTGTTTTTAACCTACACTATAATTTCTCCATAATTCTGTCACATAGACAATATTTTTCTGCAAAACATTACCCAGTTGTTAACTTCAGCAGTTTTGTGCAATTAGCAGCTGTATGACTTGGTATGGGCATTGTAGGCAAATATTTGTGACTCATTCTAAGGCTCATACCTTCTCATTGCATAAACCAAAAATATTGTCTATTCCTTGACGTAATTACAGAACACTTTTTAGGCTGATGGAGTCCTGGACAAATATCTCTGTGGTATCTGTGTCAAGCTGAGGGTTCCTCCTGTACTGTATTTCTAAACACTGTTATAACTGGGATCTTCCACTGTTGCCTAGGATAACATATGTTTGGGTACTCATTTTGGAAGCTTCCAAAATTCTTTAATTCAATACAACATTTTACCTCCCCTCAAGTTTTGCTTAACAGTAAAAAGGTGGATGTTTTTGATTAGTTACCTACATACTTGAACGGTAAAACAGTGGCAGATTCATTGCAAAACAGAGGTGTGGGTTTACTAACTGATTCCTGTAAAGTAGATAATACTTTAAGTACGCTTAGTGTATGGCAGAAGATGGTAATCTGGAATTGTCAGGTTGCCTGCAGAGGTATTATCTTGCCCTAATTGTTTAGGGATGTCTCAGTGTTTTCCAAAGGTTTGCTGAGGATGTAGAAATTTAAATCTCTAGACAAGGGTTTATTCTACTGCTGTGAAACTTGGATTTCTAAGAAGTTCCCTACATGCACTAGTGTTTTTAGATTGGCATATGCATAGGAAGAGTATCTCCAATTTGCACATTCATTAGCTATTTGTTTACAAGTGCCTCAGGTTGAAAAAAAAGGTGTGTTTTTTTTTTTAAATTCAGAAAGTGAGACTAAACAGAAATAACGGTCACTGATTGTATAACTCTTATCTAATCTTTAAATGTACTTCACCACTAATAACTTTGAATACTAACTGTACTTATTTACTGGAGCCAGATTTTTTGTGTATGGTCCTCTGACATCTCTAGCATTTACAGCATACTCTTCATTCCTCCTGCCCAGGATTTGTAAAACTTGTGGTACCGTGCAGGTTTCACTTGTGAAGCCAAGTAGATTTCAAGTTATTATAAAACCACATGCTTGGGAAAATTCTGAAAAGTATTTCTTGCAGCTGTGAGGATGAAGAGTGTACTGTAAAATCTACCTCCAGAAAACTCTCTACTTTTCCTTCATTTGTCGTACGTACATAAAAGTGTTGTAATTCAGACCTTGTTCCTTCCCTGTGAGGAGAACATGTTGGAGTAAAATTTTGAAATATTAGCTTTACCTTTTGAATTGTGGTAATCCACACCTCGGTGTGGGAAAAGCAATAGTTTCATATCAATGCATCGTCACACTGAATTTTTGCTTTAGTGTGTTTGTAATGTCTTTTCTAGTGCAAACAGGCACAGAGACCTTAGGTGGTTTGTAACCCTTTGCTGTGTTGATGCAAACTATTGGCATGGTCAGAACACTGGAGGTTGCTTTGATTATGAATACTCTTTTTGAATTCACTGTGTCAAAGGTCACAGAGACAGCATGGACTTGCAGCGCTTTAAAGAGGCAGCAAGCAAAATTAAAGACAGAAGTGCCAACATCGAGGTAAGCGTGAAAGGCTTTGCCAAACATGTTAAAGGGGATTGTTTTCTTTTGAACTGTAATCTTTTGAAAAAGTCTTAAGAGCAAATATAATCAAAGAACTTACATGTTCCTTGCAGACTGCACTCTGGTTATGATTGAAAAAAAAGAAATCTAGTGAAAGCTCGTGCAACTTTAACTGCCATCAGATACTGTTGCTTCATAATAGGATACTAATGAAATAATAAACGAGATCTGAGGTTATGAAAGCTGAGATGAGTACAACTGTGAATTAAGATCAAATTAAGTATCCCATAATTAGTGTTTCATGAAATGTTTGACACTCATAAATTTCAAGATCAGCCTTTAGGAAGGCTAAAGTGACTTACATTATAATTTATGGAGCAAGATGACAGTGTATATGATTTTAAAAAGGGACCAAACTTGTTCGTTATGCTTCCAAGAAGAAAAGGCTTTTCTAATAAACTTGTCATAAACTAAAATGAATAATTTCCATTTTCTTAAAGAGTAATAAAAATAACTAAATAGAAAGTGATTAATCATAATAAACCTGTCCTTCAAGTGCCGTAGTGTATATATATATGTAGAAAAGCTAGCTTTCTCCATGTAACTGTTAAGTTAGTAAATACAAGTTATCATTTGCAGTTACCCCACCCCAAGGGGAGAATATGCCTTGAGAATTGCATTATGACCATTTGCAATGTTTCTGTTCTGCTGAGTTGCTTCTTCTGAACCTTCTGATAAGTATAATATGTGACCAAAATGCTTTTTATGTGTATTTTTGGCATGGGTTTTTTGGTGGTAACCTTTGTGTTTGCTTTGGTTTTTTGATAGGAGCAACAGGAGGACTTCAAAAAAGCTATATTAGAGGGCATAGAGACAACCAGACTTCAAGTAAGTAAAGTTTCCATTTATTAGGGACATTATTTTGAACAGATACTGAATGCATTCTACAGTAAAGACACACAACTCAGTTTTATTATCCCATTCTCTGTAAGCTGGATGTCCTTTTTATGTAGGTCTAAATAGTTTTGGTGTTTGGTACTATTGGGATACAAAGTCCAGTAGCATTTTCAAACAATACTGCTGTTCTTAGATGCTTAGTGATAGAGCTGTCCCATCTTGACTTGGGACTGGTTTGATTCTTACTTTTCATGTAGGCACTACAGTCATTGATTGTAAGATGCTGAAGATGTGCCGAACACTGAAACACGTATAGACCTAAAAACGGGTCTTCAGGAGACACTTTCAGCAGGTGCATTCTCTGTGTTGCCTTCCAGTGAAGTGTTTGTTTAGGGATGTAAAGAAATAGTCTTTACACAAACACACACGTGTGTATAGATACACACATACATACACAGAGGGCTGTATGTATGTGGTTAGGTGTGTGGGGTGTATTCCTTAAGAGGGAAGGGTCAAAAAGGGTGGTAGCAATTTCCTGACTGTTATAGATCTTGAAATCAAAATAGGGCATAGTGAATTCTTGCATTTTATTCAGGTAACCGTTAGAATTAATACACTGGTCCAGCCCTACACCACTCTACATATAGTCCAAGTTTGTGATGAAACTGCCTTTCTCCTTTTTTGCAAAAGAAAGATTTTGTTGTCAAAAGTCCACCACCTCAGTATATATTCCAAGAATATGTAATTACTATTAAGGAATATGTCCATGAGGAAATTCCATTCATAACCTATAGGTTTTTATGTGGCAAGAGTTTTCTACATTTTGTTCCTATTTTAAGTGGGTGCAAACTGAACTTTATCTTCTCCCAGAGCCACGTTCTTGATAACCAACAAAGACATGTGCTGAAATAGCTGAATTTCGTGCTTGTAGAGATCCAGTGTAAAGTGCATTTCTGTAGTTGTATCCTATTGTAATGTTCCCTTGTAAAGAACCCTTTTGGTGTAGGTCAGGAGTCTTAATGTGTGCCTGAAAATGTTAGAGCTGATGGTTATGGTGAGGAGCATTTTAACTGAATTATGTGCTCAGCTTGTACATTTTGTCCAGCAAGGTATTTGAGGTACATCCAGAATTTTTTTTGAAAAAAGAAAGAATCCTAGATAGTCCTAAAAAAGAAAACTGGGCAGATTGTCTGCCAAGAGTGGTAGTTGAAAGCAGTAATGATAATGATGACTAATGGCAAATGTCATCTTATTTTCTTTCTTTTTTTTTTTTTTTTTTTTTAGGGTCTTCAAACTGACTCTGGTCTAAGACAATCCAGTTCCTGTGGTGGGTTCACTGACCCTCTGGCAGTCCATTCAGAGCAACGTAAGTTTGTTGTCTCTTCAGGTGATCTAATTTTGTCCCTAAATTGTGTTGCTAATGGATATTCTAAGAAGGTACAAAGGAAACACAATAAGTTAAAGCATCTTTAAATATTTTCATAGTCGCTGCTACTTGAATCTGCTCCTCCAGCTTCTTATGGTTCTTCAGGTCATGCCAGTTCAATTCTGTTACCTTGTATTTGCCACAGACAGCAAGAGTCATAAAAAGCTAAGTGATCCAGTTAGGACTGTGCTGGAAACCTTTTTTTAAAGATCAGATAGCTGTGGATCAGGCTCTTGTTATGAGAGCCATGTTAAGCTGTCTAGTTGCTCACTCTGTTAGGAAATAGTTAACAATGACATGTGCAGTTCTTTGTCCAGTTACAAATCTCTTTCCTTTGTAGTTTACAGCAACAGCAGAAGAGCATCCAGTGAAGACACTCAGCAAGTGGACTCTAAGGCAGCCTTACTGCCGGTTTGTATCAAGCTTTGATGGCATTGTTGAGCAGAACTACAAACTGAACAAATAAAGGAGAACAAACAGTGTAAAGAATAATTCTAATTTGTGGACTCAGTTGTTCTAGGAGGTAACGGGAGACCTGTTTTGACTAAGGGAAGAAGTTGTGTATGTTCTCATTATGAAAATCTATGCTGTTTCCTATTTATAGAAAACCCCACAACTTTTAAAGAAAAGAATTATTTATATAATCCATGAAACAGTAATGAATATATAGCCTTATCTGTTTTAATTGTAGTTACCATTTCTCTGTTGTATTTGAGTCTTTCCAGTCAACTGAAGTTCAGTACAACCTGGTGAAGTATTTCTGATAAACAGGCTGTTCTGCAAAATCTTAAAACACATTACCACCCCACCTCCAATTAAATATACTATGATTTCCTTACAAAACTGAAGCCCTCTTTGTTTTTCCTCTCCTTTGTTTTAAAGGATTGGCTACAAGGTAGACCTTCAAATAGCAGTCAAATGTAAGTAAGCTTTCTACTAATAGAGCAATTTTTTAGTCACTCTCTATTTTTGTTTTTCTTATTGATTGTCTTTTGATTATAGTGGTATTTTAATTGAATTTAATGAAAAAGAAAAAGAAACAACTCAAGGTTTAAATTCTTTTTCTAACAAATAACCAAATTTTAGTGTTCAGTGAAATCATAGGATCAAAAAAGGATGGTTTGGTTTGGAAGGGACCTTAAAGATCATCTAGTTCCAACCTCTCTGCTGTGAGCAGGGACACCTTTCACTAGATTGGGTTCATCAAAGGCCTGTCCAACCTGATCTTGAACACTCCAGGGATGGGGCACCCACAACTTCTCAGGGCAACCTGTGCCAGTGTCTCACCATGCTCATAGTGAAGAATTTCTTCCTAATGTGATCTAAGTCTGCCTTCTTTCAATTTAAATTCATTACCCATTGTTCTGTCACTACATGCCATTGTAGAATGTCCCTCTCCAGCTCTCTCGTACCCCCTTTAAGCTGCTGTAAGGTCTCTGTGGAGAGCTGCCTCTTCTCCAGGCTGAAAACCCCATCTCTCCCAGCCTGTTTCTGTAGCAGAAATGCTCCAGCCCTCAGAGCATCTTCGTGGCCTCCACTGGAGTGGCTCCAACAAATCCATGCCCTTCTTATGTTGGAGACCCCAGATCTGGACACAGTCCTTCATCTGGAGTCTCATGAGAGCAGAGTAGAGGGGCAGAGTCACGTTCCTCAACCAGCTGGTCACAATTCTCGGGGTGCAGGCCAGGATTTGGTTGGTTTCCTGGGCTGCAGGTGCACATGGACGGGTCATGTTGGGCTTCTCACCATGCTTTGACAAGTTCCATTTAGATTAATGGCATCACATGTCAGAGGGCAAAACATGTCCCTAAATGAAAATGACTTTGTTGACACTTAGTGAGGAGCTCACTTCTTTACTCAGCCTTTCAAACTGTAACCACCTCTGAAATTGTGCAGTCATTGCTCTTGTTAACAATTATCCCCTGAGTTAACTGTTAAAGCCATTACCTTATTTATCTGATAACAGAAGGGTAAGCTGTTGTGAACACGTTTTAATTAAAGCACCTCTGTGGGAACGAGCTCTTGTGATGCAAACTTTACATAATGTTGTACGTGACTTGGTGGTATTTAAAGTGTAGCTCTAAAAACATGAGATTACTTAACAGCTTTCCATTACTGTTTTGTAATTAAGAAAACTTGTACTGCCCTTGAAAAATAGGATAAAAGCAGTACTGTGGGGTTAATAAGGTGACCTAGGATAATGTGTCAAAATCAGGGAATACAAAGTAAGTTTTGAAGAAGCAATGACTGTTGGTTTTGTGGCATTTCACAGGCCATCAGAAGAAGATGCATTGAATGGTAAGTTTTCTTTCTCTTGTAAACATGGTGAGATCTTTTCATATAAGCAACTGTTTGGGTCTTGTATAAGAATATATTTAATTACTGGTAATTTAGAATTTAATGGACACACAATACTGTGATTTTTATTTTTTTAACAAACAGCCTATCATTAAGCACTATAATTTTTATTTTTTTCCCCCCAAAGTACTGAAGAGCTAAGTGTAATACTTAATTTTCTGCACAGCAGATCTTTTTCAAACTCTGGTTACTTGGCGGGTGTTCTTTGCATGTGATATTTTAGTACATAATACAGGTAGCAAGCAGTATCTTCTTTTTTTCCCCCCTTAATCTCTTTTCAGGTATTGCTTCTCCTTTCAAGCCTATCATGGATATCAATTACTATTACTCAGGTCAGTCATTCTTATGAACTAATGTTTGTATTTTTACTGATGCTTATTAGATCCCTAAACTTCAACAAATGCTGTATTTTTCCTCCAGCTGTAGAAAGAAATAACTTGATGAGATTATCACAGAGCATTCCATTCACTCCTGTGCCTCCAAGAGGTAAGAATTTTATTTCCTGTTGCTGGTTCACTGTGGGAGAAAATAAAACCAAACCTTATATAGACTCTAATTTGGCTTGATCTTTCTAATATAGAATTATCAAGGCAAAGTTCACACTTGCTCACAGCAAGTGTGAAAGTCATAATAAACTAAAAGAAATCCAGTCTCTGTGTTAGAACACTCCAAAATACTTTTGACACCTTTTCTAGGGCAACTCACTTGATTATGAAATGTAGTAGATTTAATTATAGTTGTCCTCAGAAATGGTGATACAGTGATGGTAGTATTGTGCTAGCAGTTTTATTACAAACAAATTTTGGAAGGATTCCTTTAAGTTGTCTTGACTCGTATAAAATATAAACAAACATTTATTCAGTGTTTGAACAGTGTCATAAATAGTTCTAATTAGGAGGACAAAGCTGCTGTACTTTTCTGCAGCTGTGTGAAAAAAGTTGGAGAGGGGTCTTCCTACTGGCTAGTTAAAATTTTTTGTTGATTCAGGATGATAGTAATGACTTAATATTGCAGCATGTTGTAATCTAAAAGACAGTAGGTTTTCAGTGCTTTTAACTTTAAACTTGGAAAATTCAGTGCAGTGATTTCTGTCCGTTTGTAACGCAGGTGAACCAGTCACCGTGTATCGCCTTGAAGAAAGTTCTCCCAGCATCTTGAACAACAGCATGTCCTCCTGGTCACAACTAGGACTCTGTGCTAAAATTGAGTTTTTAAGTAAGGAGGAGATGGGAGGAGGTTTACGTCGAGCTCTTAAAGTAGTGTGCACGTGGTCAGAATATGATATCCTGAAGTCAGGGCATCTTTATATCATCAAGTCTTTTCTCCCTGAAGTTGTGAATACTTGGTCAAGCATTTACAAGGAGGACACTGTGCTACACTTGTGCTTGAGAGTAAGTTTTATCTTTGTCAATTATTATGCATAGACATGCATTATATGTTAAAGAGAAATAATTTTCCCACTCAAGAAATAGTATATACTTACTACACAAAGGAAAAAATGGTTAGTCTGGTGTTCTGAGTGAATCTAAAGGGTTAAAAACTCCGCTCCAGGCTTACTTAATCAAAGAGCTCAAACTCTTAAAACATAGACATAATTTAAAAAGCAAGTAATCTGTTATGCTGTCTTGGGGGAATGGACACTGTTCCCAGTGCCTGCTTGGCTCTTCACTGTTCACTGTTCCCTGCTCTGCAGTGCAGCTAATGAAGGGTTTGATTTGTAGGAAATTCAGCAGCAGAGAGCAGCACAGAAGCTCACCTTTGCATTCAATCAAATGAAGCCCAAATCCATCCCATACTCTCCAAGGTGAGTATTTGAACTGCCATTATGGTGCATGCTTTTGGCACAGGAGGTTGCCTACAGGGTTGTTAACAGATGCATCAACTATATTAAGGTAATGATATGTGGATGTATGTCTTGGAATATTACTGTGAATATGTCAAGCAGAATTATCCTTGGCAGTATTTTCCATTGACACTTATTGCACTGATTCTAACCTAGTGTGATAACCTAAATGGCTTTGTATAATAGTTTATAATTATGTAAATTATTAATAAATCAAATAAAAATCTAATAGTAGTGATATATTTGTCACTTGTCTTGTAAATATATTCATTGAATATGTTTTTTACTAGGTTCTTGGAAGTTTTCCTGTTATATTGCCACTCTGCTGGTCAGTGGTTTGCAGTTGAGGAGTGCATGACCGGAGAGTTTAGAAAATATAACAACAATAATGGTGATGAAATAATCCCAACTAACATGCTGGAGGAGGTTATGCTGGCTTTCAGCCATTGGACATATGAATATACAAGAGGAGAATTGTTGGTGCTAGATCTGCAAGGTAATGTCCTTATTTTGAAATTGGGATTGGGGTCAAGATAGATATATGTGAGATTTTTTCTTGATAGCATTTTGTTAAGAATTCGTATGCCTGTAATAAATAACAAGCATTATTTAGTTCTTCTTGGCCTAATTAGTTTGAATCTATGGTTTTCTTATTTAATCACAGAATCATCTAGATTGGAAAGGACCTCTAAGATCATTGAGTCCAACTGTTAAGCCAGCACTGCCAAGTCCACCACTAACCCATGTCTCCAAGTGCCACACCTACACATCTTTTAAATCCCTCCAGGGATGGTAACTCCACCACTTCCTGGGCAGCCTGTTCCAGTGCTTGGCAACCTTTTTAGTGAAGAAATTTTACCTCATGTCCAGTCTAAACCTCCCGCTGGTGCAACCTGAGGCCATTTTCTCTTGTCCTATCGCTTGAGAGCAATCCCCATCTGGCTACACCCTCCTTTCAGGGAGTTGTAGAGAGTGATAAGGTGCCTCAGACCTTTCACCAACTTTGTTGCTCTTAATGTAGCATTAAATTGTACAACAACACAGAGAATAGAAATATATACATATTTTCCTAATGAAATGTGCTATAAAAATTCTATTTTTGGTGCATTTGTGCCGTGCCAATATGATAAGCTGTATTTATTCTGAACTGTGTGCCAGATATTCTGGCTGTGGGAGCTATATAGGGAAATTTTCTTACAGGTAAAAACTCAGGTTAGGAATTGCAGGCAGATGTAAAAATAAGTGAAAGAAATCTGAGAAGTACAAAGTGCTCATTTAGGAGCAATTTTGTAAGGATAGAGAATCAGATAGTTTGGGTTGCATTTGTTGGGCATTTTTTTCTGCTTTTATTCTTGGGGAAGCTGAGAAGTCATAGCTAAGGATTCCAATGCTTTTCAATATTAATGCATTTATGTAATCAGAAATGTGTCAGATTTAACTTTTTCTTCATGTTCTCTCTGAAGGTGTTGGTGAAAATTTGACAGATCCCTCTGTGATAAAAGCTGGAGAAAAAAGGTAAGGTTAAAGAAAGACTTTAAGTATTATAAAATTTTCACTAGACAGAGAACACATGCAACTAATGTTTATGATCACTTTATTTCTAAGGTCTCATGATATGGTGTTTGGTCCGGCCAATTTGGGAGAGGATGCAATAAAAAACTTCAGAGCAAAGCACCACTGCAATTCCTGCTGCAGGAAACTCAAACTTCCTGGTAAGAGCTGCTGTATTTCTTCTTCTGAGACACTTATGTCATGAGATGTTGTATGGTACATAATGAAATAGTTAAGTCATGCTGTGGAGGTGGAATAAGTAATAAACAGTGGTTTTGTAATTTGACTTTGGGTTTCTGATTACATGTATGATAAAAGCATCCCTTTTTTGACACTACATATCTAGGAATTCTTCTTTACATTTGCATACCCAATTCTTCGCTACACTTTTATGCCCCACTGATTCTACTAGCTCAAGAAATAGTAATCATTATGACTTCATTCTGTTTGTACAGATCTGAAGAGGAACGATTACACACCTGACAAGATGATATTTCCTCAGGATGATTCCCCTGAATTGACAATTCAGCCTGGAAGCTGCACCAAAGAATCCGATTCAGCTGGTTCTATTCGTCTGATGCTCTAAAGATGTGACCAAATCCATGGCTCCACTCAAACTTCATGGAACATCACAAAGTTGTCACTTACCTGTCCTTCACTATAATTAAAAGAAAGACATGTCAAAAGAAGGATTACTGTCTCATAAGTGGGATTTTGGCTGGTCCATAATCTAAGGACCTTACAACTTGTGATAACCATCTACAGAGCAGCATGGCAGCTGATCATTCTAAAGGTGGAATAATGAGAAGTATTTAAGATGTGTTTTTAAAGGGGCTTTTTAAACAGAAAGTTTTATTTTTTATTTTATTTTGGTTTAGTGGAGGATTTTCCTTCTGTAGTCCTCTGGTGGGAAATATGGCTTCCACCAAAAGGATTTTAGTAGTTGATGTTTTAAGGTAAAGCATTTGTCTTCTTGGCATTTGTCTTACTGTCAATGAGCAAAACCAGGAGAAAGCACCTACCTCTGTAATGCCAGAGTATTCTTAGAGTGTTTTCAGAAGTGTTCCACTAATGTTTCCTCACCAGGTGTCTTTTAATCTGGCCTTTTGAAGAGGACAGAACCAAATGAGGTGTATATAGGATGCCAACAGAATGAAGTTGAAGGTAGGAACTTGATCTGTTCCAAAAGAGAGAGAGTCTCCTGAATCAGGATTCATGCAGCTTCATGACTGTAAAGCTGGGCTTGGTTGTTTTGTGGAATAGAGCCCTAATTGTGCATAATAAAAATTTCTTGTTTTTACACATTTCAATTTTATCAAGTCACTGTCAAATAGTAACAAAGCCATGATAGACTGGTATAATCATATTTAATAGAAGAATTAGTATGTGCTGGTCCAAATAAGTTGCCTTGTAAGAACACAAGTTGGAAGTGCTTTTCCTCGTCCGTACGTAGTGACTGCTTCAGAAGCTCTGCCTTCCAAAGATCTCGTAAAACCAGTATATCGAAACCGAATGTACACATAACTTGTAAATGTATTTAAAATTGTGTAGAAAACATCCTTAATGTTACGTTATTTGTGGTACTTACTTAAGAGAGACTAGGGTTGGATTAGCATTGTGTAAAGTACGGGAGATTGCAATGCACCTTCATGCCAATAAAATGTAATTTAACTGTCCCAAATATTGTTGAGCATTCAGCAAGAAAAAACTGTTGTCCAACTGAAGTTTCATGCTGCGATTTTATTTTTTTTTTTTTGTTACATAGGTACTAATTTGTAATTTTTAATTAAAAGGGCAGTATATAGCTCTATAAATTTTTTATTGAGTAGTGTATCTTATAGATACAGACCTAAGGCACGAACACAATAGCTGTTTAAATGGTGTTTTATGTTTGATGGGGAAAGGTAAAATGTTATAAGGATATAATACTGTATACATTTTGTATATCATTAAATCTTTAAAGAATCTAAAATAAATTTATTCTTGTTTACAGACTTCTGCTGTCCATCTCAGTCTGAAAGGTTATTTTGGTGAATTTAAGTAACTCTTTATGTGGAAAAGTAGACTTTGCCATGCTGGATCAAAGCAGTTGTTCGCCTTTGAGGTACCGCAACTTTGGCCAACTCCAGAAACTAGGGAGGTAAAAGAGTGAAAGCTGTCACAGACAAACACATGTGAGGGGATTAATGAGCAAATGAGACAAAAATAACTCTACAATGTTTAATTAGGAGCTGCTTCTTAGATGTCTGACTGTATCTCCTCCTGTTACTGGGAGGGAATGGGCAGATATTCAAGGTGTATTTACACCTTTTTAATGCCAGGTAACAGCAACAGTTAGTCTGGATGTGTGACCGACTCTGCAAATTGAGAAAGATTCCTAGAGGAGCCTGTGTAATTTTGAAAATGCAACCAAATTCATTGTATGAAATCGGAAAAACATTTTGAGAAAATTGCAAGTAAAAGTTGGGAAAGCTTTTGTTTCCTGACACACACAGTTTTTACAGCCATGTCACTGGTCTTCAGGAGTTTTGCATGTGACTAATTTCTTAGCAAAATAAACAGATGTGACTGTGTGATGGGTGTGAGTGACCGTGGGGAGTGTTCCGTCTGCTCAGTGTTGCAGTGACTCAGACCTGAAGCTTTTTCAAAATCAGAAGGAAAAAACATGGTTGGGAAATTCCTGTAAGCCTTGGAGTAGTTAACACTGTTCATATTTCTGTCCATCTCACTGGCACAAGCACTGGCTTAACTCTGTTTGACTTACAGCTGGAATTACAATGAGAAGCGTTTGTCTAAATTGAGGGGTGGAGAAATGTATAACTTTCAGAAGTGATCTGCTCCACACTAGCAGAAAAAAATAAGAAATGTCAAGTGTCCTTCAGGGAAGGCATTGGAAAAGTGTGGTGGCAAAGAAAAAAACAAGTTGGTCTGAAGAAGTAGCCTGACACTGTTTGGATAGTGCCACATCCTGCTGGTGTTGGGCTGTAGGAGCACGAAATTTAATTTGTTTTGGAACATCAAGTGTCACTTCTCTGTTGAAACCTTTAGCATTTTAATTTCCTTCAGATTACCAGAGAGAAGGAAAGTAGAAGCAGCACTGGAACTTCTGATAATATCCAAGAACAAAGTATTAGCGTATCTTCTTAGAACCTGGTTTTTAAATACAGGAATATAATTCACACCTTCTCTATTTTTTAATGCAAATCTGAAATGCTTCAGTGACCTTCCTATTACAAGGGTATTTAAAGAGTATTTCTCACACAGGGAAGTAAGTAAGCTACATAATTTAATTATTTAATCCACCCAATTCAGCATTGTTGACTGCTTTCTTGCATTATTTAGATGCTGAAACATTTCAGAGAAAACCAATCCCAAATATGTTGTGACAAAATACACAGCTCCTGAGGGAGCTGGTTTTCTAGCTGCTGCTCAGCAGCTGTGTGATTTGGAAAAGGAGAGGTTTGTTTTTTAAGCCTGTGACAGTGGTTTCCTACACTTTAATTCTTTGTGTTTGCATCTCACTTAATGCCATAACACTTAACACTGCAGGACTTTGGAGAGGGGAAAAGACTAGACTACAACTGGAAAACTGGTAGTAACAGTTCATATGGAATGTTCCCAAAAGATCAGTTAAAAAAAAATTGCATTTTTTTACATGTAACAATGCTTCTTAAAAAAATACTGATAATTTAATATTTCTTTTTACAATTAACACTTTACCTTGCAAGTAATGCATTTTGTGGTGAAAGTAATGTAAGTTAATTCTCAGCCCCAGAACTTGCAGTAGGTAGCACCTATGTGAATTTGTGTATCGTGTTACATTAAAATAGTGAAAGTCTTGATTCAGATTCCACAAAAAGTAGGAATAAGCATATCCAGTTCTATTTACAAAAATGTAGACCAGATTTTCAGTAGTTTGTGTGGGGGTGTTGCTTTTGTATCTCAGTTTGCAGGTAACCAGTTTGGGGGATTAACAGCAGTGACAGCTGTCCCAAGAGTGCTGGGAGACATCCTTTGCTTGAAGTTTAACAAGTAAAATAATTAGGGATTTTTAAAAATGGTTTCCTGGGCCTCTTCTGAGAATACTTGTTACTTCCCTAATTGTATGTTAAATAGGGAAAACCTGCTGCTCTTCTGTGTATGGCGTTCAGACATTAACTACACTGTCTTAGCTAAATAAAAGCTGCTTCTCTGCCACTACCCTTTTTTTTACTTTTCCCCAGGAAAATCTTCATAACACAAATAGACTAATTAAGCGTGATGTTTTGAGGTAGTTGAATGTTTTTATGGTCAACACTATCATCACTGCCCTTCCACCAGAGCATATGAGCAGACATGGATAAAGGTGGGTCAGGCTGAAGCTCCCTGCTCAGTGCAAGGGGTGGGTGCCCCTCTCTTCCCAAGGTTTTCTGTTCTGGGTGGCACATAAGGAGGAGATAGAGGCAGGTTGGGCCAGGCACGTTCCCCTGCCTGAGGACCAACGTAACCAAGTGACATCACAAAGGGAATGGGGCAGGAATAGCTCAGGTGACAGGATGGAACACAGGAGGACACAACACCCAAAGCATTGCTTGGCTTGTTCTACAGAGATTGCTGTGGTTTCTAAGTTCTCTGCCCTGCCTCAAAATAGAGTATCAGCCTCTAAAAATTCAAGAACAGCAACATTGGTGAGCACCTCTGCGTGGTGTAGTGTTTGTGTTCAGGTTCTCTATTGCCTGACTGGGGATGGGGGACAGTTTCATGCAGCAAGAAAAAAACCTACTAGAATTTTCTTAACATAAGTAGCATAGCAAAAATCTAAAGAACAGCCTGTTATTAGTAGCATCTGGACTGCAACCTATGGTTTTAGAAAATATATTAAGTACCACACCTCAGAATAAATGAAATATAATATGCATTCTTTAGGGTGAAATGCTTAAGGGAGCTATTTTGAGTAATTGGATATGAAGTCAAAGACTGAATGGAATTTTAGGAATAGCTCTAAAACCTCAGGTATTTAAATAATACCTCTTAATGATGTATCTTACCATCTTGGGAAGAGCCTAGTGTGGCAGATGGAGAGTCTTCACCACTGTATTAGCCCAATGAAAAGTAAACGTCTGTGTAGTTTATAAAGATCCTGAAACAGCAAGAAATGCCTCCTGAAGAGGCATTTTAAAGAGCATAACACAAAAAACACTGTAGCATTTTAGATTTCCACTGCTGTGGGGTTTTTTTTTTTCCTAGTAGGTGGAAGGATGGCTTGGAAATGGAAGTATTCCCACAAGGAAGAGATGGAGGACACGAGCAGCCGTCACCCAGGGCTCACTGGCCTGCAGAACCTGGAGAACACGTGCTACATGAACGCGGTTTTGCAGTGCCTGTGCAGCCTGCCCCAGCTGGTGGAGTATTTCCTCTCGGGGAGGTGGAACACAGCCCTGCGCACGTGAGTTGGTTTGTTTCTTGCCTTGGCACGGCTGTTTTTCTCCCAAAGGATCCATGTTGCCATGAGAATGTGTGAGGCTCCAGCTACCAGCAGTTACAGTCAAATACCACAAGCTGGTTTCCTTGTCCTTTGAGACCCTGGGTTTTTTCCTTGCTGGGTACCTTCAGCATTACACTTCTTTTGTCATTTTGATGGTAATACCTGTTACAGTCACTGCTGCCTTGACCATGATCCCTACTACTTCCTGGGATCCGCAGAGTCCCTCAAACCCGATGACAGGCTGTCAGAGCTGTGCTGTACCTGCACATGTTTTCTAAGTTTCTTTCTGTTTGAAGGCAGAGACACTGTTTTTTCATACTCTACCTGAAACTTATGTGTATTTTTTCCAAGGGAGATTGGAGAGTCTGCAACTGCCTTTGGCTGTTTGATGTCTGATATGTGGCTTGGAGAGTTTGACTATGTTTCCCCTGAGGCTTTTCATTCAGTCTTTGGGAAGCAATACCCAACATTTAGCAGGAGGACTCAGCACGATGCGCAGGAGTTTCTGATCTGTGTGCTGGATGACCTCCACGAGGCTTTCAAGGAGGTGAGTCCTGCTGTGGTGTTTTGGAGACTGTAGCAATTCCCTCTGCATCTCATGATTTAGCATTCCATGTAATAATTGTCTGTCCTCCCTTCTGAACTCCATGATGGGGCCACTAGTAATTGCTCTTTTCTACCTTTGTTTCAGACCCATTTACACACAATTATTAATTTGCTTCTCATCTAATGCTGTATCAAATTGCATCCCCAATTTAAATGACAATGCTGTCTGTAGCTTCATTGTCCTAACCTCTCTCTCTCCTTTCTCCTTCCACGCTCAATGTTCTACTTTCTCATCTGCCTGAGATCTTCACATATGCATGCCCTCACGTCTTTCTCCTCTTCAGATCCACTGATAAAAGAGCTTCTCAAGCAGTTAAATCCTGTCAAATGTCCAGATTATTATATTTTTGTTAAATTTCTCTGTGAAGAAAGGAATTAAGCTTACTCTGCTTGTATGAAACATCAAGAAGATTTTAGAGCCAAGTTCTATGACAAGACTAACAACTGACCTACCCAGGCAGTGGCAGCAACCATTAAAACCCAGTGAAGGCACTTAAACAGTTGCTTATCTGCATTTTAATTTTTTTTCTTCTGTATAGTCAAGCCGACGCAGAGCTGGTGCAGAAGCAAGAGGGAGTGGCAGTGGCACATCCATTATAACACAGTTATTTGAGGGACAGCTCAATTATGGTATCACATGTCTGAAATGCAACACCATCACTGACAGACCTGAGAGCTTCACTGTCCTTTCCCTGCCCATCCCTTCTAGGAGAGTGTGCTCTCTGCAGGTACAACTGCCAATGCATTCCTGCTGGGTTCTGCTTCATATGGGAAGAGGTGGCTTAGACTAGTGAATGTTATTGAAAAGATGCAGGGTTTTAGTTACTTTGGGTTTCCTGGGAGCTAATGGATAGTCTTGGATCTGGTCCTTAGAGAAGTGCTGTTTCTTCACTGGTCTCAGGACTACAGAGGCTGGTAGGGTTACAAGAGCAATGCTTGTGAGTTGCAGGGGATGAGGGACATCAGGATTGCTAAATAGCAACCCTGAGGGTTTCTTTCACTCAAGTATTTACTCACTTGGGGAAGAAAGGAAGCCAATGTTGGCTGCTTTGTCTTTTAAGTGTATTTGTAATGACAGCCTTGCTGCATCACACCTCCAATTAAGAAGAGAGCTCTGAAGTATGGCAAATTCATCTCTTACTTTGCTTAGGATCTTCAGGGGTGGAGGGAGATCAGTCTGATCAAGTGGTTTTGATTTTATTTTTTTCCTTTGACAGGAGTGTCTTGACTGCTTCTTTCAGCCAGACACACTGACTCGGAACAACCAAATCCACTGCTACTGGTGTGGAACAAACCAAGATGCCACAGTAAAGGCCACCATAACCAGGGCACCGCAGATCATTATTTTTCACCTAAAGAGGTACAGTCTAAAATGGGGTAGGACATGGCCAGTTCCTGGGATTTGTGAGATGTGAAGGACAGTCACTTGCATTTGCACAGAAGGAAAAAAATCACTGCACACCAGTGTTTTTAGTACTTTTGATACCTGAAAGCTAAATGGGCAGTAACAGAAATACAATTAGTGCAGCAGCTCATAGTCAGACATCTCTGGGAATCAAGAGTTCCTGTGGTCAGTGGGAGAGCTTGTAATTTGGGTTCTAAGTGCAGGACTGACACAGAGTGTTTTTCTTGTCATTACTGCAGCTGAGACACTATGCTTTGGTTTTATCCCTTAACTCAATCAGGCCTAAGCACCTGAGGATACTAAACAGAGAGGTGCATCAGTGTAAGAGCTCCTGGATTAGCAGACCTCACTAGCTACATGTGGCCAGATGCTGAATTTACTCTTAAGGATTTTTTTCTAAACAACTTTCCACCTATAGAGAAAACTACTCTGGGATGATTTGGCTTCCCAGAACTATGTTGTCTGAAGTCATGATTTAATTTTCCATTCAACATCTGCTTTTCTCAATGTGCTCAAAGAACTTGTGGTCCCCAGCTGCAGCCCTTGGCCACATTTGTAAATGTTTAAAAGTGCAGTTTGTACTGATAGTTACAGAGGGAAGAGGGATGGAGCCTGGCATGAGAGAAGGGCTGACAATGGCAGTGCAGTCCAGTCCAAAATGTTTAGGTCACAGTGAGAGCAATGCTGGACATCTCTTGTGGGTTTAGTGCACTTTCTGTCAGTATACTGTAAAACACAAGGTTAATAGAGATCTTTCTCTTTCAAACGCTGTGTTGTCAATTGTTGGTTTTCCCTTCCCCTAGGAAAAGTCAGTTAAGCAACCACTACAATGCAAAAGTAAGTCGAGGGTTATTTAAAATCATTCAAAATTTCATTTCAGGTTTGCCTGGCAGGACAAGCACAGAAGGAAACTCTCAACCACTGTCGACTATCCATTACAGAATCTGGATCTCTCTCCCTACAGCTCCACGTTTTTCTACAATGCAGTGTACAGCTTGTGTGCTGTAGTGGTAAGCTTTGCCTTTCTTGCTTTTAGTTGGAATGCTCTCTCTCATGGAACAGATGATGTATGTGTTAGTTTGGACTTTATGTATACTTTTTTTTTTACCTGCCATGGACATAATCCAATAACAGTATGTAAACCAAGACGAGAGAAATCGTCATTTGTCCTTCTTCCCCAACATCCCCAGTTTAAAAGCATGCACTCCTGACACATAATGCCTGGTTGGAGCCTCCTCAGAATAAACTCACAGGCTGATCCTGCATGAATCCTGTTTATAAATAAGGACTAGATGGTCTCTTTTTTTCCATTGCTCACAGCAAATGGGGCCCTCTTATAGTGACCAAAATCAGGGCTAATAGTTGGGTTGCAAATGTAAAATTGCAAAATAGAGAAGCATAATAATAATCCATTTGCTCTGTTTTAAAGCATTAACTTGAATTAACATTCCTTGCTGTAGGCCAGTGGGGGCTATAACCCTCTCTCCCAACTTTTCCAAGTGCAAACAAAAAAAATGATGGGCAATTCCTTGGTTTGCCTGTGAGGAGACAGAGCGAGACTCTGGTTTTAACAGACTGTGTTGTTTGTTACAGAACCATGCTGGTGATATAGATTATGGCCACTACACAGCATTCTGCAAGCACTCAACCACCAAACACTGGTACAGCTTTGATGATGTCCAGGTCACCAAGATCTCAGATTCTGCAGTGCAGACTGACACAGCTTACCTCCTCTTCTACACCTGCCAAGGCTGTTGAGAATCTGCTGGCCCTTGAAGACCAACAGTGAGTAGGGCAGCAACTAGAATTCATCAGCAGCATTAGCCAAGTCCTATTTCATCAATAAACTACAGCATTTGCATTACTGATTATCTGTTGTGGTCTTTCAAGAAGTAATTCCTAGAGAGAACAGTTACAGCCCCTGAGCCTGCACAGGAACGTGAGTCTGCTCCATTTGCACAAGGTCTGATGGTTGTTTTCCATGACAACCCTCTTGCATCCCTCAAAAGAACACAAATGTTGAGCATACAGATGGACTTACCTGAAATTTCCTGGTTTTCTGCTGGTTAAGAATATTATGTTGTTTTAAGCTGCCTTTCAGGAACTGACAGTAGGATGCCGAGGCGAAAGCACAGAACCAGAGCATGGAGGGTGTGTTTCAGAAGAGAGCAGAGGATGAAGTGACCAGTAATATATAAGAAAGAAAAAGACATTATTCTAGTAATGTCATTTTTGTTCCTCTAGCACTGCAAACTTTTTTGCAGCTTGTAGGCTTCTGGAAAACAATCAATTCTGGTCTTAATTCCATCAGCAGGACACCCACAAACAGGTAAAAGCTCAAAATGCATGATGCCAGGTTTCTGAATGCCAACCTAATCAGCAAGGGAAAATTAACCCAAATCCACAGCAGAGAAACACATAAAATACAACTCAAGTAAGTTTCTAAACTAATCAGTTCTATGCAAAATAGTACTTTTTTTCACCTGGAGAACCTTTAAACTGTGTGACTATGACTCAGACTGTCATTACATAGAATCCTGACTATTACACTACAAGCTGGGAATGAAAACACCAAACCCAAACATACATTTAACAGGATATATTTTTAAATCATTTCTTCGTTAAGGTTTTTAATGCATGTGTACATGAAAATTTATATTAAAAAATTAAAAAGGAAAATCTTGTTTGTTTAGAATAACTCTGAAGTGCACAAATATTGACAAAAGCTAACAGAAAAAAAATAATACAGCTCTGCTTTTTTATTAAGTAGTGTTGCAATTACTTAGAGCTGGCAAATAAATGCAATCCTCTGAGTTTTAGAGATTCTCACAAAAAGGACAACATTTTATTATATACATAGTTCTGATGTGCAAGTATGCAATCAATATGTACACTTACATTCCTAACTGTTTACATCGTTCTAGAGTATTCACAGTAGAATCAAGCTTAAGGTTAGAAATGTGAAAAGGCCATTAACAGTGAAAGAAAAAAAATAAACCAAGATATGCCTTGGGATTTTAAGACATTTTAAACTACTTGTTAATAGATTTCAGATGACTAAGCTAGAATTTAATTTTGGAGCAGACTAAAAATATAGTTGTTTTTTAAATAAACAGTAATGCGAGTATGCCTGTAAATGGTTCCACAGATGGCAGTATTACCACAAGCGTTACTCATCAGTCTTCTGATTGTTAAGCACTACTACGGACCAGAGCGAGCCTGCTTGCAGAGACACTACTGCAGCCATCCCCACACCTGGGAGTGACTATGTCTGTCAGAGTTTTGCATATTTATATGCATTCCCATGCCTACTTTGCTCCTAGAGAAAGAAAACCAGTTTCCTTAACCCGCAACTACTTTACGTGGCCATGTCCACTGCTCGCTGTTCATAGGAAGTATAAAAGAGAATATAAGCAGCTGAGGACTTCACCGACGACGCTGAGATCTCAGAGACTTCATGGTCATCAAACTTAAACCAGCGCTGTTTTGAAGCATTTTTGCAGTAGGCTGTGTAGTGCCCCCCATCCAGCCCACCATAATGATTCTGTGAAGGTAAGAAAAGAATTAGTGGCCTCAAAAGCTGCCATTTCTTCCCTGGTAAGGGAAATAATCTAGAACATGAGATTTTTTACTAACTACCAATCAATCTTTTTAGAAGACAGCTTAATCTGCAACTGGATAGGCAGCCTGGAAACCTGGATGAATCACACAGGCTGTGTGACCCTGAGTCATTGCATAAAGTCCAGCTCAGTTTCGAAATGTGCCACGGTTACTTACCGACACCGAGAACAGATTGTATCTCTTCAAGGTATTCTTTGGACCAATAACATACTGTGAAAGGTCAAGTGTTTCCAATGGAAAATCTACAGAAGTTTGAAGCTTTTGTTTCCATCTTCCATCGTAGGAAAATCTAGAGAATTAAAAAGCATCATTAAAAGTTACAAGTTATTCACAAGGTACTTAAGAATATTAAGCATGTTTGTTTTCCCTTATTTAACCAGGATGTGATCTCAATTAAAGCCCCCAGTTTTGTTAATGTGTTAACAAACACGTTAATAGGTGTTTCTTAGCAAAAAATGAAAAGAGGTCACTTGTAAAAGTGCTTTGTGAACTACAGCTTTATAAAACAAGCATCAGATGAAAATAAAATTCTTGCAACATTACAACTGGAAATACATCCATAATTTTCTGTAATTAAAAGTGGTCAGCTACTGTCCTAGAACAATCACTCTCCATCAAAGCCTGATCACTTCACCCTAATTTTCATCCATCACCATTTCCTTACCGTTTCAAGTGCACAAGGAGAACAGGTGGTAATTTCCAAATTTCTATTTTTTTCAAAGAATCCCTTCGAGTTTTGCAATGGCTACAGTAAAACCTATTATTATCAGTAAGCTTTTCCTCTTTGGAGAACAATCTAAGGCATTCCTAAAACAAAACACAAACGCAGATTGTGAATGGCAGGTGCTTATGAAAGTGTAGCAAAAATGTTTCCTATTTGGTTGTTAACCTGCATCAATTATCTGCATCCTAAATTTCATAAGAATGAGGAAAGGTGAGTTAAATTTCAGTGTAGAAGCAAATTTTACTATATTAATTAGTATATTTTAATTTATATATATTTAATTTTAATATATTAATTAGCTGCAAGTCCTTCAAAATATATTGACAGTGTTTTGTTTAAAACCACAAAATACTTATACTATGACCTACAAAAGCAAATCCTATTCGTCTGCTCTGCTACTACAGCTTCAATATTTCTATCCTGCTTGTATTTTAAAACTTCTGATGGATGACCTATTTTTTTTAAACTTAAAAGGAATTAAAAATTGTGAAGATTCAGATCTGTTCACGTTTTACATTAGTGTAAATTAGACGGGAATTTTGACCAACCCCTTCAACAAGAGGATAAGCAGAAGCAACATCCTAATGAAGTCCCAGAGAAGTGTTTGTGCCTCAGGAGCTGCTCCTCTCTGGTTGCACCGTACCTGCAGAGTGCATTTACTGGAGGACGCGAGCGGCAACGACAGATACATGAAAGCCTCAAAGGTTCGGGACTTCTTGTGACACGTGAGACACTGCACGGTGGACTTGAACTGGCCTTGGAAGAGTGCCACAATAATGGATTCATTGAGCTGTTTGTGCTTGTGCCAGGCTAGCTCTGCTGCTCTGAAGTCATCAAGGTGATCATTGTTTTCTTCCTTGTATCTTTTCCTGTTGTCAGCCTGGATAACAGAAGTTTAAATACCACGTAAATCAGAAGTCTCATCTATAGGCAAATATTTTCAAGTATATTTAAACATGTCAGTGTAGCCATCCAGTTCTTATCTAGTTAGGTTTCTTCTATGGCTCCCTTCAGTACATTATACTGTTTCATACTAAATTCCTAATTAAATTCTGAATACTTGCATTTCTTTCTATTCAAAGTTGCAGTAACATAACCTTCTTATAAAATAAGAAGGTGTTTTTAAAATTTATTTCTCTTGATCATCTGACAGATATATAATTTGTTACAAGTGTATTGCTTACTTTATTTAGGTCTTCATGCAAGCCATCCATTAGAAACAGAAGCAATTCTTGGGAGTCCTGTTGGCTATATCCTGCAAATTGGTCATTAATCTTTCCAATTGTAATTTTGAAGTCTTTTGGACTGATATATTTATACTGTCCTGTCCATAAAGCTTTCATTATTACGCCAAACTCTTCTGCCACTTCACCTTTATGCCCCAGGAAATTTGACCTATAAAATAAAGACAAAAAAAAAATTGTGAGCCCTTCCAATAACTGTTTTTTAGTATTACTGTTTTTAATTCAAGACATTATCCCAATTTCAAAATAATTTATTTAGACCAAGAAAAACTGTCTGTTAGATTGAGCTAAAATTTTTGTCTACATTAGCATTGTAATTTGATTCCATATTCAAGACAGAAGGTACAGCTGTTTTCAGCTTGTTTTGTAAATTTAAATACAGAGATTGGTTTTAGGAGGCACTAGTACGCTTGTATTTATGAATGTGATGACCACAGTTTAATTACAACTGTCCAGTAAAACCTATTTGGTGACACACATGAATTTTGAAAATGTTGAGGCTCCTAAAAGGTACCATTTCTCTTCTACTTAAAAAAAAAAAACCCACTAAGTGATCTTTTTGAATTGGCAAATATAAAGGCAGATAAGAGATTGTTACCTGTTAATATCATCCTGATACAAGTTTCTGTTAAAATAGTCAGCCAGGTGAGGTGCATTGCACAGACACTGTAATATGGAATTCATATAGCAAGTGTTCCCAAGGTTACGAAGTCCTGTGAGAGCTGGTCCCGATCCCCCAAACACAGGATTAAGATTCCGAATCTGTGATGCAGAGAGTCTTGAAATTTCTGCTTTAGTGTAACAGATGGGTCTGTAAGGAAGAAATTGTTTTTTAGGAGTCTCAGACTTGACAAGGTTTATGTACACATAAACCAAGACACCCCCTCTCCTCACCCCACACCCCCAGGGACTGAACTATCCTTGCACAAGATGTCACCAAATGCAATCATTTAAGGTATTCAAAACTAATCAATGCAAGCGAGATATCCATATTCACTGGCCTATAATGAGGCTGAGTTTTAGGCTTTATCAGTTGTGGAATTTATGGGGGTTCTTTTGCTTTATTTATTTAATTCAGAGATGAAAAGTTAGCTGTTGATTTAATCTAGTTTAAAGTCTCAATACTTTGCATTTCACAAGCTGTGAGAAGACAAGCATTTAGCATGTTAACACAAATACCACAACTTAAAAAGCAACTGTTGTCTAATTACATGGACTGTGACCTCTGAAATTCCTTTTAATACATAACAATTACATTGATTCTCCAAAGATAACTGCCATAATGAAATATTTAGCAATGAAATTTCAGTCTATCCCTCTGGCATCCTTTCAAACCTAACTAGAAAATATTAATGAATTTTGGTTGGTTAAACAGAAAGAAGTCCTATGTGCCATCATATTGCATGAGTTGTGCTATAAATTATAGAACATACTTATTGTCACGATTGACTGCAGGAGTTACAGGAATTCTTTTCTTCTCTTCCTCCTGAATGGCTTGGGTTATATCTGGGGAAGAGTAGGAGCGCTTCAGTTTGGAGTGTTCTCTCTCTCGTTCAACAGTCACCTGTGGCTTGGGTTTATGAGTTGGAGGGGTTGATGGAGGAGTAGATGAAGGAGCCATTTCTGGTGGATACATATGAACAGTATTTGTTGGCGAGTGATAGTAACGAAAGGTTCCAGTGATTGGATCCAGAAACTTGGGGAAAAAAAACAAATAGTTTCAAAACCAAGTAAAAATCCTTCATTAACTTACTTACCTACTTATAAATTACTGTAAGAACAGTGCATGAGTTTTTCAGACATTGAGATGTTAACAGTCATGACTGGCCTCAACATTTAATAGATTAGATTTACTCAAAGGGAGCACTTTCACCAAAATGTCTATTAAACAGCAACGGCTTCATACCAGGAACAGCAGATGAATTCTCCTAGTTTCATTACAAATAATAATAAAATTCAGAAAGTAACCATGTGGAAGTTGAAGAGGAGTGAAAAATAAACAAGTTCTAACTTAGAAATAAGACACAATTGAAATGCAGGACAAAACTGCACAAGGCAACTTGATTTTAGTATCAGAAGAGGAGTTACCTTTGCCCAACCTGCAGGCAGCCCTGGGATTATCCTTCCCATTTCTTCACTTCGTGCTCTCATTAATGGCTCCCGCTGAGACTAATAAACAAAGAGAAGTGTAAGGTACATACAGTTACCTAAACAGAGCAACAGGCTGCCTGTGACTTCCCTAGGGGGTTACATGATTCAATGCAAACCAGTACTATAAGAAATTCCTTGGTTATAGCTGGAAATACAGTTTATTACAATAGTAATTTAGTACTACTCCTTTCTGTCACTCAATCTAAACAAAACCCATTTGTTGACAGTCAGTATTACAAAGGTCTCACAGTTCAATTTCTTCCCTAAAGAATTAGGAAATATTAGGGATATGTGCTTTTGTTAAACACACAAGGATGAGCTTTCCTGCCTCTCAAAGCAGTGTGCGAAGGAATGTGCATGAGATGATGAACGCGCATAAAATGCTCGTTAATGCCATCAGAAACAGTTCAAGACTTCTAATGAAAGCTTCAAATATTTTTTCAGATGAATATGACAAATGAAAAAAGCAAACAAACAGCTGTAAACATGGCACAGTCTTAAGATGATGACTTTAAAAATTGAAATGAGGTGGAATTTAACATAATTATGAAGCATCTGCACTTGATTATTTTGGCTACATACAATACATTTGTATTTACTTTAAGTTTTTCAGTATCTTGTTCAGAATCCTCTCTAAGGGGTCCTGGCTTTTGAGCTCCACTGTCTGGTTGTCCTTTAACCCCAGTTTGCTGTAAAAGATTTTGAGAGAAGGCTTCAATTTTCATCTAGCATGCCAGTAAAGAATGCTGATAAAGCAGAGTTATACTTTCTTTTTTGGCTGTTAAATGCATGTGTCATAAAGAAGTGGTTAAAATAGGTCTTTTTTATTCTTCCTACTCTATATTATAAGCAATTGACTGGAATAGTTTTTGTAGCTGAATGTTGTATTACAGTTTCAAGAGCTCACAAATAAAACACAGAAGTTCCACCTACACTACTTTCCCCCTGAAAGTTGTTTATATATTTCAGACTTTTTTCCCTTTGACTCCTCACTGTGGCAAAATCTCTCCATGAAAAAAAAGGCAAACTGTGAAGTCAACCTGAATTTATCATAGGCAATCATTTTGGGATTATGTGAAGTTGCTCTGTCAGTCAAAAGCTCATGAATGACTGTGCTAATGTTGCCCACAGGAAGATTTATTTTGGTTTACTTGTGCATTTGGATTAAACAAGCGTGAGAGTTTGATCAAATAACAACTGCAATTGCAAAAGAAGAGAAAAATATCCTAATGCATGTTCTTGAGAAATGGTTGTAAAGACGTGTTCCATTGTTAACTCAGCTTCACAAATGGCTCTTGTTTCATGATCAGATGACTTCCACACTCTGAGAAATTTTGCAATTTTTTTCAAGAATGGGGAAAGAAGAAACTGTGACACAATCCCCCAGAGATTTGGAAGTGGACTGTTCTCAGCAAAAATACTAGATTAGGGTGTTCCTTTGCTTCCTGTGCCAGGAAACAAAATCCTGTTCTGTCAGCATTTACACAGCTGGGGGCACTAAAGTGTTTGTTATGACAGCACCATTGTGTCTCTAACAGTGTAATATACAGTCCTGGTTGCCCACCTACCAGCAAGAAATAAGGCTGTCTTGGGGAAAAAAAACCCCAAAATCTATTTGTGTCTTGGTTTTAACTCTCTCCTCTACTTTTATGTAAAAATGGTCTAAATAAACTTCAAATTATGTATTTCAAATTTCTAGATTGATACTAAACTATTCAGGATGATTTGAGTGCATAACTACTCCACATTTGATGATGATTTTCTTTTTCACTAACCTTGCCTGAAACAAAGGTCTGAGATCCATCACCCAGTGCCCTTCTCGGTGTTTCTGGTGTTCGAGTTCCTTTTTCTTCCAGGGATGTTTTGTCCATCTCAATCCTTTTTGCACCAATGTTTTCTGGTTCATTTTTATTTTGCTTTTTTGCTTCAATTGCTTCTCTGCGGGCTCTTTCTTGTTCCTTCTCCTCCTGTTCTCTTTTTATTTGTTCATCCCTCTCCTTCTGTTCTCTTTCCTCTTTGGATTGCTGTAGCTTTTCTTTGTGTTCCTTTTCTTTCTGTTCTTCTTTTGCTTTCTGCTCCTGATGTTCTTTCTCTTTTTGTTCTTGTTCTTCTTTTTCTCTCTTGAGCCTCTCTTTCTGTTCTTCTTGCTGCCTCTCCCGGAGTTCTTTTTCCCGCCTGTTTTTCTCTAACAGAGCAGCAGTTTCTGCGTGTACCTGACTTTTTTCTTCTTCTGTCAGAACACTCTTCACATCCCATACCGGCTTTGTGGAGCGGTCTGGAACCACTCGTCCATTCTCAACAGGCTGGATGTCACTGGCTGTACCTGCAGCTTTTGGTCTGGTATCATCAGAGATTTTTAGTGAAGGCTTTTTAGTACGATCCACCTGTAACACAGGTGCAGAACACAAAGTGTAGAACAACAATTTACTATAGCTACTGCCACTCTGTTTGCTGAGGTTTTCCTAAGTGAGATTTGTAAGAGAATAAACATGATAACAAGCTGACTTCTGCCAAAGAGAGTGATCATTAAATCTGATCTTGTTAGCAGAATTAGCAATTCACTTATCTTCCAGATGTGAGATAATCAATGAGATCATCACAAGCCCTACAGAACCACAAGGACAGCATTAAGCACTGATTACCACAACTCTTTATTTTCAAGCTTTCAAAGGTGAACATTCTAGAGCAATCAGGCAGCCTAATTTGGGCTTGGCTCTCTCAATCATGTGACTGAGCACGTGCTTAAGGCAGATCTGCTTGATGGGAAGGGGTATTTAAGAATGGCTTAGAACTAGGATAGCAAGTTGGTTTTGATGCTGAAGTGAATGTTCTGATGGACTATAAACTCATCTGGTTCAGGTAAGAACAGAAATAATGTCTTTAAATTTTAAAGTTTAGCATCTCCTGGCTGAAATCTGTACTTAAGCCTGTATGCAGAATGGTGAAAGTGAACAGCTTTTAGCCTTCTCTCCTGAGGAACGCTATTTTAGTATAAGAACTCTCCAAAAGTGTCTTTAGAAAGTTTCATTCATGTCAAAGGAAGAAACAAATCTCTGTACTTTCACTACTGGGCCAAGGGTGATGAACCACCTAAATATTTTGTTATTTGAAGGAAGATACATTTGCTAGAAAGCAGATCTTTAGAATAGCCAAGGTAAACCATGGCCTAACTGCACTCCCTGTATTTCATCCCATGTGTTTTGAGTATAAAAGTTTGCTTATAGACTTTCTGAATTAATGATCAACTGGTGACCTTTGATTTCTCAGGTGCTCACATAAAAATATTCATGAAAAGTTCTGCAATTCTGTTAAGTATATTTAGTTCATAGAGTTCTGGAGGTCAGTTCCCATGGCTTCACAGACCACCAATAGTCTCTATATCAGTATACTTGTGTACAAGGCTTGAACAAATGTATTGAGTATGTTTGCTTGTGGATTTAGAGTTCTGCGTGTGGCAGGTGTCTAACAGATTTACTATATATTAACTCTGAAAAAAAAGGAACACAACTTACCTCAGGGATACTTCTTGTAATTGATACTGGATTAACTACCAATGAACTGTCAGATTTTGGAACAGCAGCATCTTGTATGTTTGATCTGTTAAGTGATTTTAGTCTCTCTTCCAAATTATCTCCTGTTTCTTCATTTTCAATTGCTTCTGTTGAGGATGGCTTTACAGCAGCAACAGGGGGAACAGAAGTTGGCTCTTCCAGAGATGGATATGTAAAATCCACTGCAGGAGGGGAGAGAGGAGGGAAGCTTAAAAGAGCTCTTAAAGCAAAAACACAAAAGCAAAATAAATGCCCAAGTTCCAACCCAAAATTTAGTTTTTAGTCAGAACAAGGCTCTCCCAAAAGCATCTGAATGAATTAAAGATATATCCAGTGATTACAAAAGCTTGGTGGGGTGTCATCCTTTTTACTTACAAGAAACAGTCACTGCTTCACTCCTGCCATGCTGGGGTGGAGTTACTCTAGCATTTGTTGTGTACTGGGGAAAACAAAGGAGCCAATTTTCATAACCTCCTTCTAGAATTAAAGGTTCATTCTGCAGTATGGTTTTGCTTTCCCACTGTATGGAAAAAAAGTTTGAAATTAACTGATTTAAAAATAGAAAGGAAACTTTTACAGCTTGATAGCGTGGTTGAAATTTCTGTGTCTAGTCATTAAATTGTGAGGTTATTTTTGAGATTTTTAAGTAAGAATTAAAGAGGCTGCAAAAACAGGGATCCTCTCTGTGTTTGGAGAATGTTCAACACAGGTTCCTGGCTCTATTTACAAGAGGGTGTGAACATTTTCAGTACAGAAAGATCCACTTATTGCTACTTCACATAACAATCCATGCAGAAAAATATTTTTATTATAATATTTGCTTCAGTTTCTTATCTGGTTAAGTTTGCTGAGTGATTAGTGCTTTAGAAAGCACAACATTAACTTTCTGAAAACCTCTTGAGAGTTCAGGCTCCAGACTGCCCTCCTCCTGAGGGCCTCCCCAGTATTAGAACATGAACAAGGCACAGAGGGCCCAGAGAATATTCTGTAAAGCAATAAACAGGGAAAACTCCCTGAACTATCTCTGAACTCCAGTCTTGAATGTTTAGATAACAGAAAGATGTGTGATCTTTCACAAGAGCTACCTCTATAGAGAAGAGGGACAACACAGCAAAAGCTAGAGTTTGACTTGAAAGTGTTGGGCATTTGCTTACTATAGAGTCTATAAACTCCCTGCACTGAAGAAGCTCAAATTTAAATTCATACTTATCTAAAAGTTATATTCAATAATGCAGAAAAGTTAACCATGCTCAAAATATTTCTGGAGCCTCCCTCACTCTGCTGTTAACCTATTTAATAAAAGATGCTGTCCTCTACTAGAGCACGAGCATGGGAATGGGAAACTTCAGACTGCACTTCTGCTATTAAAATAAGCAGGCTTTGAAAACTGAACCAAGATGCTTGCCTGAAGTGTCATTAAGGTTTCCACATAGTTTGTAAACACAGGTGCTTTAAGACCTTCTGATTTATTGAGGTGATTAGTGTAAACCACGAAACTTGCCAACCTTAAATAGCGCATCTTTCAGGCTCTGAAGAGTTGTTCCTAACTTTAAGTCTTCAGCAGAACTAAACCAGTCCAGCAGTATAACATAATGAAACTGTCCTCTCCTCTTCCATGGATCTCTGGAGTCCTCTGGGAGTCTAGCTTCAATCCAATTAGCAGTAACTCTGAAATGTATTAACATGCATTTAAAAACAAATGTACAAGTAACCTTTTATCCAACAACATATGATCCATATATGTTTATGTGCCTGGACAAAATAAATATGGTTTATGTTGAAGTCAGTATGTGCAAGAACAGAGCTGTCCAGACACATCTTACCCACTGGTATACAGCAGGGACTCTGAAACTAAGTGTACAAGCTCTAAAAGCATATAATTTTTTATAAAATTAAATATTTCATTATCATTTAACATTATGTCATACCCAGGACTGATAGCTTCTTCTGGGACACTGATAGATCTTGGAATACAGGATTCCTGATAATCCTTCAATCTTCGAGCATCCATTATAAGCAATTCAATATTTTTGTCTGACATCATTGCAAACAGTTTCTCAGGTGTGACTGCTCCTTGAAATAGAGAAGCAAATAGATATAAGAAGCTACATTATAAATGGAGATAGCTATGATATCTGACTGGTGCAGTCAAGACTGCAAATAGATGAAATAGAATTAAAAAGTCCCACAAAGTCACAGAGGTGAGACATTATAAACAGATTGGACCTTTTGCTCCTACTGCTGTAGTGATTAGCACCTGATCTGCTAAATTAGACCATACTGAATATTTCAGTGATAAACCAATTTAAATTTTTGTGGTCTCACTTAAATCCAGCTATATAGGCAAGCATTTGTAAAATATATACTGCTAATGCTCCTTCTCAGTTAAGAACTCTAGAGAACATTTTCACATATTTATTGCAAGAACAAGAAACAGAAGGTTGTGAGGGGAAAGGAAAAATTTCTTATTTAGCAGAGAAATATTTCAGCCTTGCCTAGATTTTTCTTATCAGTTGAGGAGATGTTTTTCTTCTAACTTGAACACTTCAGAACTAGTTCAACTTTAGTTATTAAACAGTTGAAAAACTAACTACAGCTTTTTAAGTTATAAGTGATTATAGCTGCAATACAGAGCCTAATTAATTTATAATTTGCTATAACTGAAATACAGGATACTAGAATTCCATCAAATTCTGTGAAATAACTTCTTAAAAGAATTGCAACTGCTTAGGTGATTGGTACACAGTCATATGGAGACCTTTTCCACACCTGTGACAGCACTGCATTTCTTACCACTCAGACTGTCAGACTGATCCTTTCTTTCCAGCGAATGCTTCCTCTCACCATTAATCTGTGTTATAAGGGGGAAAAAAAAAGTTTAATATGTAATACTCAGAACCAAGGTGGCCAACAGACACTGACTCTCACAGACCTTGAAGGAAACTGGTGGCTGTTAAGACACAAGAAGGAACCTAGCACAAATAAGCTGCTTTTGAAGATGTGCTGACAAATGTACTAAAAAGATACCAAGGCTGCTGCTCTGCCTAGACAGAAAAGAGTTAAAAAGGCACTACAATCTAGGACAGCATCACCTACTAGATGAAATTCATGCAGTATTTGTGGAGAAGTAAGTTTGTTTCCACACTTCCTGCAAAGTCAACCATCTCCTAAAAAGCTTATTTAACATCAGTTTATTACCATTACCTTGGGTTTCTTGCACTAGGTAATTCTAGTATAAAATAGACTGAGCTTTCTTGTACAGTCAAATTCTATCTTATGCAAGACTTGGAGGTTGTGGACTCAACATATTCCCAAAAAATGTCAAGAAGGATTACAGGGAGTGTAAACTAATCACTAAAAAATCCCCCATCATGATTCTGAACTGGACATAGTTACTAGCAGAGACCAAATGCTAGATTGAAACTATATATTCAGACTGAATTAAAAAGTTTGTAAACATCTTCAGTTACCCTTTGGCTTTTTCCTTTGGAATCCACAGCACTGTCTGAGGAGTTTTTGGCTGAACTCTTTCCATCATCCTTTGGTTCTTGCTTTTTCTGCAGCTCTTGTCTGTCCCTCTCTTCAAGTTTTTTCCGAACTTCAGCTTCCTCATATCTATTGAAAAAAAGAAAAAAGTCTTTTTTTCAGTATTGTGCTATTGACTAACCTTGGATTATTAACATCAGAATCATTAAGTCCTCAGGAAGAAATTTAAAAAAAAGTATTGAAAGTTTTAAGAAAGTGAAAGTATTGTCAGTTTTTGTATTCCAACAATTCCCATTTTCCTGCATGACTGTGTGATCTTATTTTTTCCACTTTTTGAGCTGGTTTTCCTATTCTGAAATCCTGTTTTGAGTCCTATTTCATAGCCACTGCTTGTAAAGCTATTTTTTCTCCAAATCTGAGGTCATTCTTAGCTTTGGTATCACTAAATGTTTTTCATTTCCCACTGGAAAGGATAAGTACTGGTGATTTACATGGAAACTTCAATATATAACAACAGTCATCCCAGGTATTTTATTTTAGTTTGCATTGGAGCCAGTTAGGAGTAAGTTAGCTCAGTTATCTAAATGTCCTTCTCCTGAAGTCAGATCAGAACTCATTATGTGCCTGGTGCTTGTTTGAAACACTGGACCTACAGGGAAGCCAATGCAAGAACTGTGTACACTCGTGAGTTTTGATGGACCTGGGTCTTGCTGTCCTTCTCATAAAGCCTCAGACTTGACAATTAACCTCCCAGCCTTTTGCTGTTGGAAGGACAATCATGGTATTCTAAGCCAGTGACCTCCAAACTGCAGTTTTTAGATCAGCCACTGGAGGTTTGTACAGTCACGTCACTGTTAAGTAGCATTTGCTTATATTTAATACAACTGAGAAGTTTAAGGGTTACTAGGGTTCCATAAAACAAAGAAGAAGGTTTTGAACTAATGATTTTGATTACTCAACCAAGCAGTGAAACATGAACACTGAACTGTGTTGACAATTGCTTGTTTGAATCAGATGTTGCCTCATCAGAGTTAAAGTAACAATGACAATACAGCTGTATTTTGTATCAAAAAGTAGTGTTAATAAACTAGATAATTAAATCAAATTCTGCCTCCAAGTCTACTTCACTAACTGACCACTAACAGGAAAAAAGCAGCAAGTTTGTAATTTTATCTTTTAAACAGGCTTCCTAATTTGGCACAGGCATCGTAAGCTAGAATAAAGCATTTTGTTCCCACTTGGAGTTAATGACACTAAAGCATATTTCATATTTTAGTTTAATTTGGTCAGTATGGAATATTTGCCCATCAATTTCCCCTTTTATACCTCTGAAGCACATAGTAGGTCATTCATGTAGGTATTCCTGCTCCTATACAAGTGGTGTTTCAGCAGCTCCACTTTTAGTTAACAATTAACATTGAAACTATTTGCTGGCCTAGTGCCTGGGGAAGAAATTATACAAATAACTTCCCTGAAACCGCTTCTGTAGTTACGTAGGAGTCATGTTTCATTTCTATTCCCTTTAAATATTTATACATTTTACCCAGAGCAGTTGAAAGTTATTGTGTCAACTTCAAAACTCTTTTCCCTTCATAAAAAGCCGAAAGTCACTAAACAAGTCTCTAAATTTTGGGTTTCTGTAAGTCTATCAGTGTTTACTCTTACAGTGAAATCATAGCTCTGTTGAATTGCAAGACTCAACTAAAAACAAAGAAAATCTAAAGATTGTTTCATATACAGTATCATGAGACATCTTTGCAAAGTCCCTCTTCATATAGGTGTAACTACAGTCTTATTGTTCACTGAAACTAACTTTATAGATTAAGCACTTGGAAGGGCATAAAATGCTTTCACAAGAATATTTGGGAAGGGCAGGGTGGGACATGAGACACAGGAAGGGAAACGTGTCCAGCTGCAGAGAGAAAGTTAAAAGGGCAAGAAAGAGTTGCTAAGCATGCAAGAAGCAGACAAGGCTGGAAGCAACACACACTGCACTAAATATCATCTAAAGACAGACTCTATCTTATGACTTCTTACCAACACCACTTTGTGGCTTATGGCACAAAGATGTAACTTGACAGCTGTTAATCAGGTACCCAAAAGTCCATTAGCATCAATTCAGTTACATACTGGCAAAACCATGTATTGCATGGTTTCTGCACACAGCAGAGAAAAGGTAAACTATAACCACACTAGGAGGATTTTTTAACATATCTGATTATTAGGAACATTTACTAATAGATTTGGTTTCAGATGACCTTATGATTAAGGAGAAAATCACTCTTGATCATCTCTAGTGTATGTATCACTTAGATCATATGGTTTATTTTTATTAGTCAATACACAAAATTAGAAGACCATGTCAACAAATCATAACTGCCAGGAATTAGGAGATAATGTATAACGTGACAAATTATTGGAGTGTGTGACAGTGAAAATTATTTCTAGTAACAGACTTCTGGGGATAAACAGTTCTAAGGTCTCGAGTTTCAGCTATCTATGGTCTACTCAAGTGCAATTGCTTATTACTAAATAGCATGAAAAACTGAAATTGCACATGTATGGGCTTCAGGTGTAACAAATAGAATCTTATCTATCAACTGTATGCACGTACCTGAGTTTAAGGCTGTCTGACAGTCTTTCAGCTTCTTCAACAGCTTTTTTTAAATTTGTAGGTCCCAGAATTGAATGAAAATAATCCTAAAATTACAAGCATCACATTGCATATTAATAGTACAGCTTAAGAATGCCTACTTCTGTGCATATTAAGAGTCATCAATATACAGAGAATTGGTATTATAATGATATTAATACCAACAAAAGGAACTGCTTTGAATCAAAATATTTTCCTCTCAAACATGAGTTTGTAAGTAAAACTGTCTGAATGGGAAAGATGACAAGAACACCTCTCCATGAAAAAATATTCCCAGATTTGACAATTTATACAGTTTATGTATTAAAAGCAAACTGTAAAAAAAAATTAACAGACTTGTCAAAAACAGGAAGGAAGGAATAGTGTCATAAGTGAGGCAGTTACTTAATACCAGTGTGATCCTTTGAATGTGCATTAGTGTAACTCTCTGTACTTCTCATACTTTTACCAATGCAGAGGAGGTCAGTCAGAAAACTTTTATACCTGTTGCTGCTTAAAATCAGGTCTTTTTTTAATAAAGTTATAAACAGTCACATATTTCATATATAGGATGTAAGCTTTTTCTTCATCTCGGTCCAATCTGCTTTCTTCTGCTGCCTTGAAAATCTTAAGGGCACTCTGCACATAACTGAAACCAAAGAAGAGGATAAAGCACATGATTGTTGACTTGTCTCCAAACACCTTTGCATTACAACATGCCATATTAAGTGTTTATGGCCTCTGCTCATATATTAAGCATTTGATTTTACCATCTTAATATAAGGTTTTCATTAAACATGAATTACAATCATGTTCCTCCAAATAAAGTTCATTTTTGCTAGCTTGTTTACTAGCCTTATTTAAAGACTTCCATAATTAAACAGCATACTGAGATAAGAAAAAAAGTACTGTTCCCTTCTAAGAATAACTTTTTTTTTTATAGGGGAAACTAATTCATAGTAAGACAAAATGAAATTGTTGATTATCTAAAAATGCTAGAGGCAAAGCATTTTCTGTTCACATATTTGCTGAAGTTTTTATAATTTTTAAGAATTTGCATTTATGTAGCCTTTCCTCCAAGTATGCAAATCTTCATGGGCATCATGCTCTGTCCAAGCTATGTTTCGGCACTATGTCAAGTGACCTCCTGAAAGCAGTAAGCACTCCAATGCAACAGCTGAGATCCATACATAAGACTATCAAAGGTTTTAAAGCTAACAGAAATACTTGAGGAAACTTAGATCCACAACAAATTTGTTCCGAAACCACTAATACTTTTAATATCGGTTCAAAATCAAATATAACATATATACCTCTTTGTACTTGTCTTTTCAGGTTTTATTTCTGTCTTCTTGTTGAGATCTTTCAATGAAGTACAGAGATACAGCTCCTTAGGTACAGATGCCACAGCAGGCATGTTGTTACTTATGTCCCTCCTAGGATGGTACCGCTTCTTAGAAGTCTCTATCAATATTTTTCTGGAGGGGGGAAAGAGGTAGGAAGAGCCTAATTATATTCCAGTGACTTTTAATACACACATAGAGTTACCTGTGTGGGTTTATTACCTAACCTATCTTACTTTATGTGAGCTAGCACTAGATGCCAACAGAGTGGCTGAACACTTAACAGTATAAATTAATTCTCCCAAAGTGACAGAATTGTTTGAAACCACTCTAGGTAATTTATTAAGGATGTCCAGCAAGATGCTGCTAACTAAAGAATAAAAAATAGTAAGTAAAGAAATGCTGACTTAAGAATGTTGAAAAATCATTGTATCCAGCAGATTTATTGTACTGAAATGCCAGTAAGTATACTATAAAAAATTAGCTGACTTCTCTGTACTCTGCAAATACACACCAGCCTCTTGGAAAAGTGACTTCTAATGTCTTGGTAAGAGTAAGCTGAGAAAAGCAAGATTGCTATGGGTAAAGTCAACTTGAAACTTCTTGGTCTTCAGCTCCTTGGTGCTGTTGTCTTTGTGCTTTCATTTGAAAGTGCTCTCCAGGTAGCCCTGAAATAGTTAAGCAGAGCTTGGCTAGAAGGGACTGTTACATCATCCCATCTGACACAGAGAAGTCCATTAAGTCTCCTGCAGATAGTCTATCTAAAACTCTTTTCATCTAATACACAGGAAGCTATTTTAGCCCTTGGAGGTGGTGGGGGAGGAACTGAGCTCCCTCACATGTAAGTGGTGAGACCTTAAGATGTGAGCAACACTGAAGAAACTATGGGGAATTCCTTAGAAGAAAGGTGCTCAAATGATCCCAACAAATCAATTACTTCCTAGCAGACAAAAAACACATGGATTTTGACAAGATGAAGGTAGAGCATTTCCCTTTCACCCTCAAGGTGATGATCAGCATGACAAGTGTGACTAAAGCCACCATCAGCCAGTGACTTCAGAGTGAAGTTTCACCCCACTGAATCGATCTGTAGCTGACTGCCACCAAATTAGGTGATCCCGATTTCCCTCCCTCTTTCTCATGCTGGTCTGGTGCTTCTCCAACCTCTTATTGAGCCAATTCAGCTTGCTGAAGAGGCAGAAAGGCTACACAGCTTGTGCAAGGACAGCAGTTGGCATGTGCAGTCAAGAAGGAGAAGCCAAGCTGGCAGTGTGATCCCTTCCCATGGCACAGAGCTGTTGTATACCTTGAAGCATCAGTATACAGACACTCTTCCCCAAAGAAGAGGAAGTGTAAAAGCCTCTTAGCCTAAAACAATGTTTTACATCCTCATAGCTTATAAAGAAAGCCTTCACTCTTAGTAAGATTTTAGCATTGCTTGTCTAATTGTCCTGTCAGAGCATGTCTTTACCTGGCTTTTTTTTTCTCCTTAGAACTGTAAATAGACTTTTCCTTTGAAGCTTTAAGTCCCTTCCAAATATATCTTCAATGTTTGCTCTGTTATGTAACCAGTATTTTCTTAATCTTAAGTGGCAGCATTTGGTTGTGTTCTGACAGAATATTGTAACTAAATATGTAGTCCAAAAAGATCTGAATATAACACTAGTGTGATGTGTGCGTATGAGCAAAAAAAGCCCCAAGGCTATGTGGAAGATGAACCATTTAATGATCTCAGTAAATTCTCAAGTGTTGCTGACACACTTTGAAAAGGGCAGCTCTTCTGGAGCCTCATCTATACAAGTGTAGAACTAATGAATAAAAGCCAACTCTGAGCTTTGGCCTGAAACAAAAAGGGCTTTTCCATTTTTTTCCTATGGTTACGAAGTTATTACTGCAGGTCTTTAAGTTGCCAGGCAAGCTCAATGCTGAACTTTTATTTCCTGATTTAAAGAAATTTCTATACCGTTTTTCAAAACATGAGCTTCTAACCACAGTATCTGATGAATGAGGTATTACTCTTTGAACTCCCACAGCACCATATTCACACAATATGCTGCAGTGAAATGAGTAAGAACGGATAAAGAATAACATTTTCTAAATTTTTTTGAAAATCAAATTCTCAACAGCCTACTTAATGGAATTACATACAATGTATGCCGCAAATTGATAGATTTCACCTGCAGTTTCTAATTCATTCTTCTATACAGAATCTTAACTTTGGAACTGTAACTAAAATTTTCAGTTTTATGCATCAAAAATCCCCTAACTTGATTTTGAATACTACAGACTGACAACTAGTTGCCAGTTGACTGCTCAGTCTTAGCTCATAAGGACCCTTAAAACTTCTTAAGCTTCTATGAAATTTCAAGATGTGCTTTACCTTAATTTTTCCTTATACTCAAATGAACAAGTTTTTTTCCCTTCATCTTTGAGCAGGCTTTGGGGAAGACTACAATTTCAGAATCCAAATCACCTCCTTCATAGATAAATATTACCATCTGATTTTGAACACAAGTTTTGCAGATATTCAATTCCTAACTGGCCTAGTCTCAATGGGAGAATCTGGCAAAAGAAGTGGCACAAATAAAAGAGTCTGGGAGTAGTCAGTGTCCATCAGGGAAATGCACTGAGACAGACCAGCTACTGCAGGTTATGGACAAGGCCTGTAGTTGTTTCCTCTAGGGGAGCTGCAATAAATTGCAGTCTAACCAGAATCCCATCCACTTTATCAGGATAAAATCCCACTGCTCCAGCCTGTACTGACTAGATTATGCTCGCTTTTGTGGAGCATTCCATTTCCCTCCACACTTAGAATCACTATATGAATACAATGGCAACACTGAGGCATGAATGAACCCTTCCAATTACATCTGTGGTCTTTCATATATCCCTAAAGAAGAGCGAGATCTTCTTTCTCAGCAAGAAAAGAAAACTGGATCACAAAACCATGAAAACAATAGATTGAATAAGCCGTAATAGCTAAATCTATGATTAGTCAACCTGTGACAAAGAAGAAACAACCTATTTCAGGCTTGTCAACTCTTTTCTTAAAGATTAAGGTCAAATTCAAGACTTGGGATCTTTTCCACCCCCAGCTGAAGTATTATCTCAGGCTCCTTTTTTGTACTTAGGAGTGCTGAAAACAAGGCTAATATCCCAAAAATATGAGGGAAGTCACGCTTGAATGATTATGGGCATTTGACATACTTGGAATGGATAGTTTTACCCTGACAGGGAAACTGGTAACAGGTTTGTCAACATCTAATTATCATGCCAGTTTTACTAAGGATATGAGTAAGCTTTAAGTGGAATGACACTGTAGCAGTTACGTTGCAAGCAGCACAAACTAATGCACTCTGAAATACATTGACATGGTAAGTACTGTGCATCACCAATTCAGGTATGTAATAAAGTATTATTCACTTATTTTTGTCTCTGACAAATGAGCAAAATGAGTAAATGAGAAATGGGTTTCTCATGAGAATTAAGTTCCTCAATTCTCTTGGAATTACATTTTACTATCTGCATTTGGTACACAAGAGTTGGCTTTGTTAAGATTATCAGTGTTAGTCAGATAGAGAATTTTAAGATGATTGACCTACAAAACCCACCAGCATATTTAGCTCTGGGAGGCCTCTAGCTCTCTCCCAGGCTCTGGTACTGTTAATACTACAGGCCCTGGTTCCGTAACCTAATGTGTATAGGCTGATTATAACCATTGGGGCTTCTTATAGCAAGCCCATTATGTTCACGCAGGGTAGCCAAACTTTCACCATTGTGCTGGTCACCACCAGGCACAGGGCAGCAACACAGCACGGCTCTGTCTCTGCCCATGGAGGTGCTCAAACCTGCCCTGCCAGGCCTGGGAACGACTCTCTCCGCAGTGAGAAAACCCTTTGATAGCTCCTTCATCCAACAATTTACCTGACACCGAGGTGGGGGGGAAGATATTATAAAGTTTCTTTTAAAAAAAATATGCTGAGTTTTCTGCAGGAAGTTTAAAAGTTACTCAATCTATGCAAGAACACAAATAGTTCCACTTCTTATTTAGATAAACGAACATCTGCAAGGAGTACGCAAACAGCAGAGGTGATAAGAAGCCGGGGAGGTCGCAGAGAGGCAGAGAACTCCCCCAAGTTTATAACCGGGCGGTCAATACCGCTGCGGCGGCCCGGGGCCGTGGCAGTCTCCATGACACCGCAGGAGTGCAGCACTCTGGGAAGCGCCGCTTCCCTGCCATCTTCCTCCGGCCGCTCCCGGGCTCCGCGGCGGCTCCCCGGCCCCACTCACTCGCCAACCCGGCCGGCTCAGGCCGGGGTGCTGCGGACCGCCCAAGGTCACACTGCCGGCCCCGGGCCGGGCCGGGCCCGATCCCCCCGCGCGGCCCGAAGCGGGTCCCCGCCCGCCGCAGCCCCTCGAGGGCCGCCCCCCGGCACGGGGGCTGGGCCCGGGCTGCCCCCGGGCGCCCCGCCCGCCGCTGCCTCCTCCCGCCGCTGCCCCGCCCCGCCTGCCCGGCCGCGCAACTACCGCCGCGGGACTCGCTGCCTCCGCCCGCCGGCCCGGGCAGGCCATGTCCCGAGCGCGGCTGCCGAGGAGACGCTACGCGGCCATGGCTGCTGGGGCGGAACTCGGCGACGACCGTCCCTCCCTCCTTCCCTCCCTGCCTCCGTCCCTCCCTGCCGGGCCCCCGCTCCCCGCGGGGGCGGGACTCTCACGGCCCTATCCGTGCCACGGGGCTGGGCTCGGGCCGCGGCGGGGGCCTGGCTGCTGTCGTGAGGGAGCTGCGGGGCGCGGCCGCGCTGGGTCGGGCGGGGACCCACAAACAGCCGCCGTGCTGCGGGGGTGGCGGTGGAGCGAGAGGGGAGGGACAGGCGGTCACCTCGGCCCGACGCCACCCGCCTGCCCCGGAGAGCGCGGGGCTCCCGGCCGTGCCCCGCCTGGCCTCGGGAGATTTGTTACCGAGGCCAAGCCACTGCGAGGGGCCTCTGGGTCTGTCACATTCTGTGAGGCGTCCAGTACTTTGTATGGGCTGTTAAACTGGCCCACTGCTGCACTTTGCGATCAGGTGTGGGAAGGCAAGTCACCTCTCCTTATAAAAATATCCTGTTTTTGTCTAGAGAAAACTGGATTGACAGGGGACATGGTGAGTTTAGATCTCGGTTTTTGCTGTGACTGTTTTCTGTGCAGCTTGTGATGTTATTACAAGCGTCATACTGCAGGGATGGCAGGTACGCGCTGACACACTGGTATAGCCATGCTGGGAGAAAGGAGGTGAGAGGCAGGTCGTGCCATCCAGATCTTACACAAACAGAAAGATGCTCTGTACTGCCACAGTCCTGGCCTGCCCCCAAACTGTGTCAGTGGTAGGGGAGGGGTTCAGTTACTCCAACCTACTGCTCCATTTTGCCAGTGGAAATGTCTTGTGAACTGAAGCAGTCTCCTTCAGCCACTTTACAAAACAGGGAGGTCATGAAGCCAAATGAGAAAGCTGCCTGTCTCCATGTAGCCTTCCAAAATACTACCAATTAATTGCCCAGAAGGCTGAATTGTATCACAGCACTTAGTGGTACAGTAACCTTGGTTGGTATGGAGCACAGGAAAGGCTCAAGCATGTCCTAGTTAGAACAGCTGGGACCAGTTCATCACTGGATGGGTGTAACCAAAAACTGTGTATTCTATAGCCTTCCATGCCATTTCCCAGAAACTGTTGGCAATAGACTATTTACACCCTCTGCCCAGAGCAGCCTGACTCCTCAGGCTATAAACTAGGTGTTAAGAGGCCTTTGAGATAGGAGGGTGCTTCTGTCCTCATACCCTTTGTGGAACTCCCCGCCATGAGGGAAGTACTGAGCATTCCTGCCTGAACTAGAGAATATATAATCTCGGAGTCTTGGAACTTTTTTAACCACTAGTGAGATCCAGAGGAAGACTGCAGATCATTGCTCTCAACCAGACTGCAGACCACCACTCTCAACCAGACTGCAGACCACCACTTTCAACTGGACTGCAACCACCACTTTTCCACCAGACTGCAACCATCACTCTCGACTGGACTGCAATCACCACTCTTGACCAGACTGCAACAGCACTTTCACCAACAGGTTTTTCCCCTCTCCCTTTACTTTGGGCTCAGGGGGCCCAACAAACACCACTCTGTTCATGCCCCAGGGTGCTGGGTTATACATTTGGGTTTTGTGGGTTAAAACCAATTGCTTGTCTGTATAATCGTACTTATTGTATTATTTTATTAAATTGTTATTCTGATTTATAATCTCTCTTTTGAGTTGAGTTCATTTCCCCTGCTGGTTTATCTTTAAACCAGCAAACCTGTAAAAAAAAATAGACATTATTATTATAATATTATTGTATCATAATAATGAAAACTGATATACAGTGCTAATGGACTAACTGCAGGCTGCATTCTTCACCTCTATGAAAGACGGTCATTAATATCAAAAGTTTGACTTTCCCATAGCACTGCAGCCAACAACACCAAGTGTTCCTGTTTGTTGGCACACGCCTGTGAGCACATTGTAACATTTTCTGTATCTGCTGCTGCTGTGTAAATGAAAAGCCATAACAGGACAAGCTAAATGCTTGTTGAAAGACACAGACACTTGCCAACAAGGAAAAAGAGATGTGCTGGAGGCTAGATTCAAGGTTTCTATGCCCTGGTGACAAGCAGCAGCCCAGAGGTGTTTGGATTTGTTCTCTATTGCCGCCTTCTGGCTGAGCAGGCCCAGAAAAACCAGCTGACAAAAATTCCTGCCTGTAGCCCAACTCAAATCACAGGTATTGCAGCACTGGAGCGGGCCCTGTCAGCTGGGGGGGGTGTGAGCCTCACATTGTGCTCAGCCTGGAGGGCTGCTCTGCCATGGGAATTCCATGGGAAATGCAGCCTGCTCTCTTGAACTCAACGGGGCTATTCCAGCAGTGACTCCAGGAGTCAGTTCTGGGATATTTGTGAGGCGATTGTTGCTCCTTGGAATATGGTTATTTACATTTTGTCCAAAGCTGAGTTAGGTAGGTCAAAAGCAGAAAATAATGCCTCAGTGCACAATGTTGCTATAAGTATTCTTCTGATTATCTAGAAGGTATTATGATCTCCAAACCAAGAGTGGAATTTTGTCGTTGGTATATTTTCCTGAAAGATGTAGATGATGAGATTCACACTTCACAGGGGTAGCAGATTTATGACTCGGAATAGTTTTGGGGACAATGTGAGCACGACCATTTTGCATTGTTGAAACAAAACTGGGAGAAACCTTTCAGGGGCTGGGCTGTCAGGTCCAGTGCCAGCCTGGGACTGAAGGCCAGAGACCTCTGAGAGAGCAACAAGGTCCTAGAATCATTTTGGAGCTGTCATTCTATCAAATCCTATCTCTATGATCCCAAATTGTAGCTTCCCCTGTACTCGGCCACACCTTGAGTGCTGTGTTCAGTTCTGGGCTCCTTAATTCAAGAAAGACATTAAGGTATTGGAATGAGTTCAAAGGGCAACAGAGCTGGTGAAGGATCTGGAGCACAAGTCCCACAAGTGGCTGAGGGAGCCGGGGTGTTTATCCTGGAGAAAAGGAGACTCGGGGGAGACCTCATCACTCTCTACAACTCCCTGACAGGAGGGTGTAGCCAGGTGGGGGTCGGGCTCCTCTCTGAGGCAACAATGATAGGACTAGAGGATAGTCTTAAGCTGCACCACGGGAGGTTTAGGTTGGACAGTAGGAAAAATTTCTTCACAGAAAGGGTGACTAAACATTGGAATGGGCTGTCCAGGGGAGGTGGTGGAGTCACCATCGCTGGAGGTGTTCAAGACTGGACGTGACAGTGCCATGGTCTGGTTGACAAGGTGGTGTTCAGTCATAGGTTGGACTCAATGACCTCAGAGGTCTTTTCCAACCGAGTTGATTCCGTGATTCTATGTAAAGCCCTGCCCAGGGCAGGCAAGGCAGCGAAGCTGGCTCTCAGACAGGACACCTTCGACTGGGATTAGATTTAAGAGCCCTAGCAGCCGTGAGGCGGGAAGCGCAACCCTCGCCGCCCCGTGGCACAGGGGAGCCCAGGATGGCTACCCCTGTCCTCATTCCTCGAGCTGCCTCTCGGGAGGCCGCCCCCGTCCCGCC